TGAGGGCTGGAAAGGTGTGGGAAGTATGCAGGGTTGCATCTGGGTGGTAAGTCTGGATGATCTCTAGGAACTAAAGCTCTGTAACAAGGTATTATTGTCAGTGTCCCACGTGAACCTTTATTCATATGAAGAGAATGAGAATTAAATCAGATTTGACTGTTCTGACAGTATTTCTCACTGTCTTTCTCACTGGGGAGCAGGTGCACTTTCTGTAGCCTAGTGAATACTACTCTTATGTCACCCAAATCCAGGTGTGTACAAAATTGGTGACAAAACCCTTGCTAACACTCACCAGGAATGGCACTCACAACATGCCAGTTTTACTTGTGTGTCATTGCAAACTAAGCACAAAGAATTGGAATAAMACCTATGAATTGGAGCTGTGCCAAAGCTTCATGCAGATAAACCATTCCTACAGGCATGGTTCAGATTACAGTAATGAGAAAACTAATTCCTAGAATCGAATGTTTTTCTGTAACAAATCAAGACAGGTTTTACTTTAAATCTTTTCAGACACAGTGAGGAAGAAGCATGTATTAATGGTTGATAATAGAGAGCTGCCTGGTACTATGCAAACGCGGACATCTCCATTSAGCGAGTTTCAGTGGTTCATTCAGAATCATTCCCCTGCTGTTGCCATGAATGGCACCTTGTATTTGGGCAACACTAAGTTACATTATAGCAGACAATGCACTCAGTGTAGAAAACCTGAGGGAATTGACTAGTGTGACAGAGGTGCAAAAGAATTTTCTATTTCAACAGATTTACTTTTGCAGTTTATCTATAGCTAGTATAAATTATTTATCATTTTACCTTAAGACAAATACTGAAGTCAACACTTTCAGACTTCAAAGAGTGAGTGGCTTCAGAGAGTGAGATGCATAATGAGGCTGAGAATCTCAAGCCTCCCCCACAGCCCATGTCCTGAAGAAATGCTGACTTTGGCTCCCTGGTCCCCCAAACATTCCCTGGCCTCCTCAARCTATCATAATGGTAAAACAATTTGTTCCAATGTGCACCAGGGTCTAGAAGACACCAGTTTCACAGCAGTTGAAAAAACAGGAGCTTTTAATTATTTTGCACTTGTGACCCAGCTACCCTTGTTTTCTGTTTATTAGCTTTTCTGATGAATTGTTTGAGTTTACAGTGTAGCTGAGTTCCAGAACAATCAGACCCTTACCTTACTCAGAGGGGATTGCAGATTGCAAATGTACATAACTGGTTATGTACTCTAAAGTCAAGCAGATGGAGGTTTCCCCTCTTCCCTCTGAGAGTAAGTCAACCTAAGAAGTGTCCATGCATTCAGTGCATCRTGAAGTAGCACAAATTGCTTGGCATATGGTAACGAGAGCCCAACCAGCATCTTTGCAACATACCCTTTTCTAATGCAAGGGAAAAATCTGATAGTTCTTTCAACCTTAAAAATACTGTGGGTAGTCACGTCTCCTCTTGCTGTAARCAGGTTTAGAAGCTACTAAGGAAGATAACAAGGTGGCCTTGGCTACTACTTTTTTTATCCACTGTATGTTGACAGTGGTGGTAAGCACAAAACCAGACTGATCTAGCAATGGTGCTCCTTTTCCTGCTGTGCTTATCATGCATTSTGTGGAGATTTCAGTCAGTTTTAAAAGAACGTGATGATAGAATTAACTGTAGACAAAGATTTTACCCACCTAGCTTATTTCACCCTCAAAGCAGGAATACAAACTCAATTTTGCTTTTCCCAATTCCCCTGCAGCCTACTGAAGGAGGCTGCAGAATGGGATTTCTATAAGAGTGATCCTGTTATTATTGTGGTCTCAAATACAACTAAAATTTTAATCTTAGTGGGATTACTCCCCGACTCAGTACATTACTGACTGGCAGGAGCATGCAATAGTAGATAAATTGGCATATATAAAAAGCACCTGCTTATCTACTGTGCTTGTTCTCAAAATCTCAGGTTGTTTTTTGTTTTTTTGAGGGACCAGCTGCTCTGCTTGTTGGTGCTGACTAGCGTCCTATCATCCCCTTCTCCACAACACCCAGTGTTTCTTTTGCAGATACTGTGAAGTAGCATTATGCCTTTCAACAGCAGGGAACTGCTAAGATTAGCTCAGCCATCTCACATAACTTCACCCTACTGTTTACTTACTGAACAGCCATGCCACAAAATGAATTGTGCCAGTCTGGTCATGCCTCAACTTGAAATCCATGGCAGGCAGACCAGGAACTGTGTGAGGACTTCTGGAGGCTGTGATTAACAAAGAAGCAGCATGCTCATGGCTCCACAAGGCAAGCAGAAATCAGGCAAGCACCTCTATTGCTCTGCAATTCTGGCAAATAGATGAGGGCTCATATCCCTCCTTAGTGTGAAGCAAGGCTTCCTCAATGGACTTGCCTTTCAAAAATTTAAGTATTTCCACACTTCAAAATACTAGGTCTCTGGATTCCATTCTTAATCCCTGTTTTAAAATACTGTACCACTCTCCTGCAGAAAGCAGCCAATATAATTTCCTTTATCATTTACTCCCACACTGTAACAGGCATGACCAGCACAGTTACTTGACCCATCCTTACGTAAGAAACACCAGRCAATTTGCTGCAGGCAAAGCATACATGGGATGAGATCCTTTTCTGACATACTTTCTGTAATCATGCCTTTTTTAGTGGCTTTACTTGCAAAATGCTGTTGTTGAACCTCACTTTTACAGTATCTGTATTTGGGCAAATTATCAGTATCTTTTTATCAAAGTGCTCTTTGATGCCTCTGAGGACAAGTGCAACTGCAGAAGGTACTAAACACCCTGCTATCATCCATTACTCCACAGGCAAGAAGTAAATTAAGTCATTTTGATGACCTGCTAGAGCAGACTATGTTCCTAGAGTATCAATCTTCTAGCATGTAGTAAGTTTCCAAGTGCACATATCATCTTCACTAAATTGATGAAGGCAGTGGTTAGTGGGAGACAACTTTCCAGATCCTCCTTTCTGTCTTAACRGACATCAGATAGATGCTGTAGCATTTTTAGTTCCTTTCAGTGTATTTGGTCAGCTGCTCAGCTAAGCAAGTCTTGTTTCATGAATAGTTAATCAAGTAAAATGCAACTCTAAAGGACTGTGGAAAACAGCAGCTCAAGAATTACGCACTGGAGTTTTAACTAGTAGCTTGTTTCAGAAAAAGACTTGTAGCTGGGTAAAAAAAGGGAAGAGATCATGCCAAAATCTCTTCTCTTAAAGTGGGCTACAGATCATASTCTGTCAGCAGAAGGCCAAGTCTGACTCCAGAGGTATGAAAAAGCTGTTTATTTGCATTTTCYAATTCTGTGAAAACTTCAGTTACTGAAATGATCACGGAAGTTTAAAAAAAGAAAAAAACATAAAGTGRATTAACTTTGGAGCTGMAACTTGGAATTTTYTCCTTTWAAAAAAAACTAAAAAACATACCTTCACAAAGTCCCTTTCAAAAAGCAGAAAGGTTAATTACCACTTGCTTTAAAGTACCTCCTTCCTATTTTCTGCTCTAATGTAAGAAATTTGTATTTTACACTTGTTTACTGGTCTGAGTTTGCAGTTATTATGCAACAGACAAAATCCAGGAAGATTTTTTTAAATCAGACCAAATTTAGGTTACCTTTGAAGGAAGAGCTGTGTTGTGCTTTAATGCCTAGAGTGAGCATATTCTTTGTACTTTTCACAATAGGAAAGGGCCTACRTGGCTGGTTTTCCTTAAATTGAAAACAATATTAAATTTAAATATTAAATCCCTATTTTTAAATGTGATAGTGAGAAGGGATGTTTGTTTGGCTTCGTTGAAAGACTGCAAAATTGCATCCATGAGAATATTGAAATTTTTACCAAAAAAATTAAAATTTGAAGTTAACCTTAAACAGGTTAGGAAAGATGTTATTTTAGTATATGCTATCCAGGAAGATAAACTATAAAAGCTGTTTAAATAACATTGCTTGTATTAAACCTGAATGTTATTAGAGGGGCAACAGTGAATTTTCCAAGTATTACTGTGTCAAGCTGGATATAAAACTTCCATGCCTAAGTGTTTATATATTTAAATACACTTTTTTTTTGAAAATCACCATTATAAAGGAAGCATGTTTTGATGTTAGCAGATTGAATTTATTCCTGGTCACTATAATTCTAGAGCTGGTAGGTCTGATCTCCAACCTGTATTTGTGTTGAGAAAAGGTTTTATCACCCTCAGCCAGTGTCTTTCTAAGAATCTATCTTCCTTCAATAATTCGATTCCAAGTATTCAGCAGTTATTACTTACCACTTAAGTAAAACAATTTTCATTAAAGCTTTACTATAGCCAGTCAATTTGACCTCAGATGCTTTTCAGCTAATGCATTTGCTAGGAGCTCCATCAGAAACTACTGATGTGTATTAGGAAGTGCATTGGAGAGAACTGCATTCCTCTGTCAATCCCAGAACTGCTCTTGGTTGAGTGTCTCTGTAGAGCCTGTAACTACAGTAGGCAAACTCTAAAGGAACTTAGTACCAAGCCAGCCTTTATTTTCTACCTGCTCTATTTTTTGGGCTGATGTCCAACTCAAACCTTTTCGGTACAGCAAAATAACAAAAATATCAGTATTCAAGATAGATGGGGACAGATATAATTTTAGAGTGTGTGCAAACAGCTAAGTCCTTATCTTTTGTAAAGAGAAAATGAAGTGTGGGGCAGATTCCTTTACTGGGGGGGAAGTTGTAAGTAGACTAACTCATGGGGCCTGTGACGTGATATATTCAGCCTGCTCTTATCCATCATCTATCCAGAATACACCTGAATACAAATGGCTCATGGAGAGATGACTTGTAGAGTGCAAGAGGGTTGCTATGTTTCTCAAACATACCCAGGGAAAACAGTATCAAGACCAAGCCAGAATTTGAGCTTTTCTGTAATACAGGAAACAACTGCTGGTTCAGTCCACATGACCTTTCAAGCCCCATCCCTTGGATAACAGGGAAGAGATTTGTGTTTTTTTGGCAAGAACCACAAAACTGAGCACTCAAATTTAACTAAAGGGTAGTWTTTTATTTCCCATTAAGACCATCTCAAGGACATAACTGAATGTTGAAAAACCCACAGAGGGGCACATACAGCAAAAGTGGTGAAGTACAATGTGAACAGCCCCAGGGGTTCAAATAAGGTAGGACCATTAGCAAACTGGAGGGAAAAAAACCCAAATTAAAACTCCGCTGAAGATGTTGTATTTTCTTCTCCATTTACAYTGAAAAAAAGTCAAATCCAACAAAATCCTTGTATCTCTAAAAATACAATCAGTCCTGGCTAACGAGTTTATCAAGATGGCAACAGGATGACTATAATACAAAACGTTCACTACTACACTCTGTACACACCTGTTGTCCAAACCCTCCCCCAACCCACATAGTGATGGTGCCCCATTATTTGCTCGCTTGCTGGGCCTGCCTGCGGAGGAGGACRTAGATCTTCTCCTTTATCCAGTCTTTGTTGTACGGTTGGTATGTCTGAGTATCAGCACGGTAACTGCACAGAAAACAAGAAGGAATGTCAGTTTGCCCTGTAGTACATTTCCCAGAAGAAAATTCACAATTAAATGTATGAGGCAGAAACTTGTGTACAGAAGACAGTATCAGAATCAGGTGGGAATTGTCACTTATCAAATGGATTTATCTTGTTCTCTAAGAAACAGTTACGCAGCAGATCAGTCTGAGCCTGAAACAAAACTAGATGCTCCAAGGATTACTGAATGACTGTGTGTTCACATTTTAATTCATGCATTTAATTAGAGACAACAGATAGAGAAATTCAGTATTCTAGAGCTCAGAATGCAGAATAGTTTCATCAGGGAACAATCTAACTTGTCTTAAAGAGTCAAACATTTCTTCAACATTACTTCAAGGATTTAAGTTTTCAAGTATTCAACTTCTGYCTGGAATTTTTTGAAAATTAGCAAAACCAAATTTTTTCCAGGAGCAAAGACAGACTTACAGATGGATGACAAAGGAGTCTTGCCAGTTGGCACAAAGGGCAAGCTTACATCTAACAAGGACACCATTTCATAAAAAGCAAACTGAAAACAAGAATCCACAGATTCATTTTCTTTGCTACTGAGAGTTGATAAAAGCAGTTCACTAGCWAGGGCCAGAGAATTCATTACTTGGGGCATATTGAATTGAAACAGAATTAAACTTAAAAACTAAACCAAACTGCATGACATGATCTGTGTAGGCTCATGCAGTTCTTTCTCCCTCAGTCTTTGAAGCTGAGTATTTTGTTCATGGAGATGGTACTTTCAGTGAATGTTTCAAGAACTACTAAAGTCCTGGTCAGTCCTTAAATTGGCTTATATTTATTTCTGGTAAGATAAGAAGGGTGAGATGGTCAGTGGTAAGAAGCTGAGTAAAAATCCAAACTTCGTAAGGACAAAAACCCTAAGCACGCTGTTTCTAACAAAGTCCTGTTATTTAAACCYCAGCATGACTGGATCAAGGCCAAAGAAAGAGCTTCACTATATGTAAATCCAGCTGTAGTTCTAGTACAGTGTAAGAAATGTTAGTTTCAGGAAAAGTTACTGATTTCTACACTCCACCCTCAAATCCAGTCATAATGCTACGCTGCAAGAGCAGAAATCAAGTACTTCAGGAGTTTCTGTGAGCACAAGACACATCTGATACACCTCGTGCTACGTGTGCCACCTGCTGGAAAACTGCAAGCTCAAGTAGAATTTGGCACGACACTGATTTTACAAGCCTCATTAAGAAAAGCACAAGACTTTCCTATAAAACAGTTGCTACCTCCTCAAACAAGTGGCTAGTTTCAATCTGTTAGCTAAACTAGTCTCTCAAATTCCATCAGTCCAGCACTGTAACACCTAAAGAACAAATGTGTCAGAATGTGTAGGGATAAAGTAAATCTGCAGAACTGTGAGCTCATTTTACTTGCTCTACTGAAAACTTTGGCAAATGGCATTTGTAATAAATCATTACCAATAATGGATTCTGTACTGCACTAGAATACAAAAGAAAATAATCTGATTTTAAATTAACTTTGTATTTTAAACTGAGAAAGACCGTTCACTGCTTAGCTACACAAGTACTTGTGCTGGGATTTCAGGCACAGCAGTACAGCTGCAGGAATACCTAACCAGAATCTGACTCACTTAAAAATTTTCAGTAATTTTGTGTTCAAAAGCTTAATACTACGTCTTTCATTACTTGAGTATGAGATTTTTATCCTTATTTCTACAGCATTTCTGCCAAGCTGATACCACTGTTGTATCAAAATATCACCTTGAAATTTATAGTATGGAAAGTATTCAACCTGRCATTGTAAATTTTGTTCTGAACAGTGAAATTTAACACTTGATTTCACTGTGAAGTTAGAATGGGAAGTACACAAGACCATCTTTGCTTGGTCACAACCTTGGCATACAAATGAGAACTGGAGATGTTTTCACAAGACCAAGTAAACCATTAGCTGGGGATCTCCAGAGGATTCACCAGTCACTCATTAATTTCATCAGGATTTACAGAAACCTTCATCTTTTGTTTCTTGATTAAAAAAAAAAAAAAACTTTTGGCTGCAATGCACTTGTGCAGCCTTCTACCCTACCACTAGTACTGCTCTCAGCTGAAAAAAAATCCTGTAACCATGCTGTCTCCTGAGGAATCAGAGTAACAGCACAAATTTAAACAATTTCTTGCAGTAATAAAGTAGGTAGCTGGATTTCAGTATGTGAAATGCTGTGAGCTTCAATGTGAGTAAAATACAAGTGGAACAATCTGTTTCTAAGCCTTCTTTAGAGATACCTTATTTCTACRCAGCTAATTAGACTGGGCAACATGTTATGGCCATTGCAATACTGCTGCACTACAGCTACTGCAAAAACCACATAAAACAGGATTATGTTAAACTCACATAAAAGAGTTCAGAGGGAAGGCTCGTGGCTTTCCTAAGTCACTGAAATGGACTTGTACAACTCAACTTACACAAGACAGCTGAGGTCTGCCAAGTCATCAATGAAGTCAAACAATTGGCTGATATCATACGTAATGGATGGACTGTTGGGATTCATTCTCTTCAGATGCTCTTCATACATTTTACAGACTCCTACAGAGAAACAAGATGAACAGTGCAATATTTAAAAAAAAAGTGTATTTGCTGAAACCTTTCCAGCTATTGATCCACAAATAAAAGTTTAGAGATTGTTTTTATGGTAGTAATCAGATTTTGCAGAGTTGAAGTTCTTTTGTTCCTAGTGATTTGCACTGAAAATAAGGTAAGATGCATGGAAAGAAAAGTTTTTACCATCTAAGAGAAAATGTTTTAGTTCTGTCAAATATGTAACTTTCCATGCATTAAGCTCCAATGGACACCTGGAACTCCTAATAATTTTAAGACAGCAATTACAACATATATTCCTACTGCACAAACACCTGATAAACAGAAGAACTCATAAGAATGATCATTCTTGATCAAAGAGTCAAACAGGGCTACAGAGGTAAGAGTGGCAGGACAAGCCTGAATACAGATTTAAATCACTTTTATTTACTTAAGCTAGCCCACTAGTAACTCAGATACATTTGAGAAGAATGTAATATTCAAGTGAGCACAGAGACTTTACATGGTCCTTCTTATACTTTTGTTTGTCTGACAAAACTTCCTGGAAGAATAATGTTAAGTCAACTACAGCTTTAGTATTTCAATCTTCTTTCCATGCTCATTATGTGCATCGAAGTCTCGCAGGATCTTTACTTTGGCACATGTACACTGAGACTGCAAATTATGTATCAATTGCACACAATCCTTTATTTAATATGTTATTTCCAAAAGCAATCTTTCCGTTACAGTGCTAAAACAAAGATTAGTGAGAATTAGGTGCCAATCCTGCAATGAAATGCGCTGAAAGTCTGCTGTGTGGCCCCAGCAAGCATATTGTCTACTTTCCCAAACTGAATGTGTTTTCCTCTAGTTACATCAAAACCAGACATTTAATACAAAAAGGAAATTTTGAGAAACAAATAATAACAAGGCTTTAGTTTGCTAGAACATTAATAAACTTAAAGCATGAGATTTTTTTTTGTGTGAATGCTCTTCGAAAAACATGAAGAGCAACTTATTTTCTTACGAAGTTTGTGAATATGTCAAAAATGGGGTTTTAGTAAGTTTTTAACTACCATTTCTGCATCCACCCACCTTCCATGCATTCATTCACCGATTCATAATCAGCGTATGTTCTGCCTTCTGGCCTCTTGGTAGGCTGGACAAGTAGAATTGTGTGAGACTGAAAAACAAAAAAATACAGGTTACTTGCACAATTTGAATTACTTCTGTTTGAATTAAGTTATTTATATGAAAGAAGGAGTAAACAGAAATATAATGCTAAAATATTAGACTAGCAGTCAAGGACATAGACATTTTGCAAATAGCATTTACTATTTATATAAGCTGTGTTAATAAGTTTTGTTTCTAATGAATCCTGTTAATCCTTATGGAACTTCAAAATGTGTAAAATCACCAGTAAAATAGCTACTGTGTTGAAAAAAAATCCTACAGAAATAGTAGTTTCTATTTAGACAGACAAGCAAAGCAATAAAGTCAATGCATAAAAGCTGTTGTGCTAGTGCATTTACTTATTTTGTTGCAAATTCAAGCTGTTAATAAAATTTTCAATGCCCCAATTGAAGAGCAAGGAGAGGATGCAACTTAAGCACATTGTCAGTCTCACCCTAAAGATTTTAACAGGAATAACTATTTTGAGTTATCCATTTAACTTCGAGGGAACGCAAATGATACAATAAATCTGCACTTAGAATTCAAGATTATTTCCTGCAAAACAGATGTACTGGTTTTTCACACTTCAATGAGTTTACTTAAACAGCAATTATGGCACAGAAAACTGTTCCAAATGTTGGAGTCCATAAGCTTGTTCTTCTGCAGGGAAGACTTAGATGATTGTACACTCTGCGGCTTCCATTATTTCCATAACATTTTTCACTTGGCTACAGCAAGTAATTTGAGCAAAGAAGCAAGATTTTTGATGTGTACACAATCTGTGATCTAATTAACAGGTTGCATAGCACAGAAAGTTTGCAAGCATGCTGCAAATGGCCGTTTCCAGTGCTGCTAATTGGATCCAACATTTTCAGTGCCAATATATGAGGTGAGCACATAATATAGAGACCACTGCAGGGTAAGCCATTATTTGGTGTAGATTAATCAGCTGCTGACGGAAAAATCTAACCCATACTTTGGACATCAGTGAAGATATCTGTTCAGTGCTCATCAAACACACTGAYGGAAAAAAGAAATGGCAAAAACAGGAAAAAAATATTAATTCTGACCTGCATACTGTAAAAAAAATGTGAAGGAGAAGAGATAATTCAAATCCACTTTCATGTAGCCAAAGAATGTTAGATTTGAAAGGAATTCCCCAGGCAGGGCTGGTATCTGGCTGTTCTGAAGTGCATTGTACTTGAACAGGCWTGTCTTAGCAGAGAGTCCAAATGACTTCCAAACATTATTAAAAATGTAGTTTTTTCAGCACTATAATTTTAATTAGCTGGTTACTGAGGAGCGTTAAATGAACGTATAAATTCTGAAATTATCCAAATAATCAGATTATAGAAAAATCAGTGAGCCAGACATGTAAGCCAGTTCTCTCAGAACTTCTCAGTGGAAATCATTTGGGCTTCTGACTTTCAGACATTTATCACTTCAGACATGACACATATCCATTATCAGATACTGGCCTGGAAAAATATCTAAATTAATGCCACTGGGATCCTATGTATTGTAGAATTAATGCTTTTCAAACATTTCTTTGGGAACTTGACATTGTTTTACTTTAAGGCGGGAATAATTTGATTTTATAAAATTGCTGATCCTGTTCCATCATGTAGGTACAAAAAAATGACACATTCAGAAGCCTGAAGGAAGTTTCCTCCAGTTATTAATACCTGCCCCGTGTGCCTAGGTCACATAAAAACAAAATAAGGGAAGATCCATAAACCTTCCTGCACTAGCACCAGGTTACCTGGAAAAGTCCACCATGGACCCTTATTACTGTGATGCATATGCTGGATTTCTTTGCATGTTCCCTAAATGCACAGTTGTACTGGTTGCTTTTAAGCAGGACATTGAATGAGGAACCACATGGTTTATATCATGCCAATTTTGAACTTCTACAGAGCGCTTTAGAAATCACTCCTGTTACTGAAGGCAGAACCCTGTAAAACTAGTTAAGGTGGTACCAACAGCCAAACCAGCAGGACTTAAAAGCTAGGCAGCATCTGCCCAAAGAGGCTTCCACCAATTGTAGTCTATTTGACAATAAAGTGTAAAAAAAAAAGCMAAAAAAAAAAGCCCCAAAACAATAAAACCGGAAAATAAACCAGTATCGTAATGGTAGGATATGCAGTGATACAAATACCAGTAACATACTGCACACACCTAAATGCCTCGCAGCTACCTGTGCCAGGTAGCAAAAGTTAGCTAGCCCACTAGTAACTCAGTAACTCAGGCCACCTTAACTCTAGCCCACTAGTAACTCAGTAACTCAGGCCACCTTTCACTTAGGCCAACAGGGACAGGACTTGTAGCTGTTCATCATGGCCGAAGCCAACTGCTTTTTTGCAAGGGCCGGTGTGGAACTTCGCTGCAAACCGAAAAAGCAGCTCGCTTTCCACCACCGGGCAACAACTTGCTTCAGCAGATCTTAATTTATCAGATGATCGTAACAAACCACGGTGATCGGGAGGCCTTTGAGCTTCAGTGTGCCATTCCGACAGCCCACCAATGCAAGCTCCCGCCTTTCCCTTCTCCGAGCAGAGGGGAGGAACAGGGAGAGCAGCATGGAAATAAAAAATCAGCCATTTAAGGCAGGCTCTCTCGACGGGCGAGACACACGATAAAGCGCTGCGCTTCCAGCAACGCCCTGAGAAGGGGCCGAAGCTGCCAGGGGAGGGGGACAGAAGCTTCCAACGCACCGCTCCCCAAGCGCAGCCGCCGTCTTTGTGCCCCCGCCTCGTCCGGCCCTGCCCCRCCAAAACGTGCTGCCCCCCGCCCGGGCCCGCACCACCAGCCGCGGCCTCTCCCGCCCGCAGTGATCCAGGGGCAAGGAAGAGAAAGGGGAGGCCCCCCGAACGGGCGCGGTGTGTTCGGAGCCCGAGGATCCCCGTCCCGCTCTCACCATGGCGGCTCCGCTCCTTCAGCACCGCCGGGCAGAAGTGGCGCGCGGCGATCCCCCACAGGCCCCCGCGCCCGCCGGAAGCGCCGCCGCGCCAACGGCCGCCACCATAGAGCCGCTCGCGCCAGAGCGCCGCCCGCGCGCRTGCGCACGCGCCCACAGGGCCGGCAGCCAGGCTGGCGGGGGCGGGGCGCGGCTCGCCGCCATCTTTGATGAGGGCGCCGCTCTGTTCCCGCCGTGGGACGCGGYCCCGCCCGCCATCTTGGAGCCGGGAAGCGCGCGGGGGCGGGGCGGGCCGCGGCCCGTCCCGGAAGGGGAAGCGCTGAGGTGCCACTTGGCCGCCGGGGCAGCGGCTGTGGGTGCGGGCTGGAGCCGTGGTTCCGCAGGGTCCTCTCGGCCGGAGGTCGCCCTGCCGTGAGCAGCTGCCTGCGTTCTCGCTGTCCCCCACCCCTCCCTCCCTCCCGCCCGCCTGCCCTGGGAGCAGCGTGGTGCGGGTGAAAGTTGCCCCTCCTCAGGTGAGAGCCGGGCCCGCCTGTCGCCTGCCCCCCGGCCGCGCCCGGGCTCTCTGCGCACCCCCGGCTGGGGGCCGAGCCGGCCGGAGCCGGCGGGCGAGAAAGACATGGCTGAAAGCCTCTCCTGGGAGCTCGGTGTCTGCACGGGTTAAGCCGTGCGGTGGGGCGAGGTGGAAAAGTTGCGGTTGGATTTCACTTCAAGGGACCAGACAGAAAGCGGCGAAATGGATGACTTTCCCTCCATCTGCCTGCTGTCCCTGGCCATGCTGGTCGCCTGCTATGTGGCAGGAATTATACCCTTGGCAGTTAATTTTTCCGAGGTAAGACAGCTCCGCCAAACTGCTCGTTGTTTGCTAAAGGAGAAACCAGAGAGCTCTCAGTAGGACTTGGTGCCGTACTCTTGCAATATGACAACGCTGTTAAGGATGAAGCTATAGCTTTAAAAGTTAGGAGAGCAATAGGAATTTTCATTCACAATTCCTGTGTAAAATTATGCTTGTTTCACAGTGTGTGTAGAAGATTGGAGTTAAGTCACTGCTACAGGTGAAGCAAACTCCCAGCCTGTAGTGTAAGACATGAATAGGCATGACTATTCTTAGAAGCTTGTGTAAGAAACTGCTGAAGTCAAGARATTATCTCTTATGTGCTTATGGGCTATTCAAGGATTTTAAAAACAATTGCAAGAATATTAGAAAACTTGATTCACAGTTTTGTTCACAGCTTGCACCGTTTAAAATTAAACTTTAGCTCTTTGACTACCATACAAATTCAAGTTACAGCCCTGTGTAACTCAAGGCATTCTTTTAGAAAAATATCTTGGGTAAGTAAGRGACTGTTAAAGGAGAGAGAGGCTTTCACAGATTGGGTGAGTTTCCAAATAGCACACAAACGTGCAGTCAACTTTGTTGTAGTATCTTAGGCTCTCAGAAACTCTTAACATAGTTTTACACTTGATTTAAATATTAGATATTTTAAAGGTTTGTATGCAATGCTGGTTTAAAAGAGGAGCAAAATATCTCAGCGTGTGATGTACAAATCCTAGCTAATCCTGGAAGTGTCTCATTAGAAGTTATGATTGTTTTGTTTAAAATTATTGCTTGGGATTCTGCATGCAGCGAAGATGATTTCAAACTGAAATGAGTGTTTGGAGTGTTCATTCTGTAGTTTGCAAAAAGTTTTGCATATAGCCAAAGTGCGTAAAAATGCCTCTTCCCACTGTCACATTTCTACTGATTGAGTTGAAAACCAAAGTGAATCCTATGCATAATGTGCCCCAGATACTGGAGAACAATAAAATTATTCATTAGTGTTAATACATTCCTTTAGATTATTTTTGCCATGGAACTTATTCCTTGTGTTCTGAGCTCATGCTATGTTCAGTTGTTTCAGTTAGGTTAGGATAGTCTTGAAAGTACAAAACTCTGGGAAAGCCAGATATGGCTAAACATGGGTGGTAAAAGGTACAAACTGAACAGAGTTTTGCCTTATTTCTGTGTGCAGAGGTACTCTTTCAGTTTAATCCTAATTTACAGTACTCTGTTGGTCTAATTTAGGGCTGGAAACAACACTAACAGTTCTGAGACAATCTCTTAAGCTGTAGTCTAAATGCAGAAAATTWAAAAAATGGAATTGTTAGCAGTTTGAATGTTTTGGTGGTGTAACAGTGGCAGGAACTGGGGCCACTTCCTGCTGAAAGTAGGTGTGAGTTTTTGATAGGTSCAAGTAAGAGTTTTAGTGCCATACAGATTTAAAAAAATACTGAGCAGTGGAAGAGTTTGCTAATTTGAGGAATTTGAGACTGTTTCCCATGGAGTTTTAGCACTGTTTACTGTGTTACTCTTGTTTTTTAACAGGCAAATGTCTTTAACAGAAATGATTTGATTTCTTGGCTAAAGCTGTATTACTTTTACCTGTCTATGTAGGCTCTTGTTATTAAATTCCCGTATTCACCAGCTCTGACTATTTTGTACTGAAAAGGATATATTTACCTTTAAATAATAACTTGTTAGTGTGTATTGTTTTCATGGCTCTGTAAAATTCACAGATGCTCAAGTGAAATAAGTGGTACTCTGTATTTGCAGTTGTAATGAATCAGTRTTACCTCTGACACTTTTCCCCATGTTTATGTGTATACAAAAGATACTTTAGTATTGCAGGTAAAAATATTTTTTTCCCTTGTATACTATAGTTTTGCAAAATTACTTTATGAACAGCAGATGCTGAAAATTTATCTTCTCATGTGGATTGCCCGTGTATAACAATTTACCAGGTATAATTATTATATATGCTAGTATACAGTGCATGTTTATGGAAATTTTACACTTGTTTTCCTCTCCTGCATATTACTATTTGGTTTTCCTCAGTAAGTTGCTCCCTTACGGCCACATTTGGCTTGCTTTCAGGAATCTGCTTCTCCATTTCCCTAGTTCCTCCAGCTTTTCTATGTACATGTTGCATATTTCGGTGAGACTGAACAATTTGTGTTGTTATGGTGCGTGAAGGAGAATGGATAGCATAATAAATATGCAACAAGTAATAATACAACAATGCATAATAAATATGCAACAAGTGGCTTCCTGTTAATCAGATACTGACCTCTGTCTCTAGGTCCTCAGTAGTTAACCTTAGTATTTTGGTAGCACTCAGACTTTTCACTGAGCATGGAAGATGATGATGGTTCTGCTGCAGAATGGGTGCTACACAGTTGTTAGGAGTATCTAAACTCCCATGGTTGCTACATGTCATGTGAGAGGGGTTCTTACAGAAATTGAGTAATGGCATCTGCAAACTGTCATGTTTCAGACTCTATGTTTATGTAATTGGATTTTAGTACGTGGCTTTGACTTTAGCCTGTCAGTGTAGTTACAAGGAAATGAATTGGTGAATGTATTGGTAAAACAGTTGRGAGGGGAGACCCCTCTAAACTTTTTGCCCCAAACTAGGCTATAACTAGGGAGATAACTCTAAGTAATAGCAGCAAGTAATGATAACTGTGTGTGTTTTGTGGTTTTGTTGTAGAAATTCTTCCCAAAATATGAATAAAACTATTAATCTTTACTATAAAAACATTGAGCTTATGTACTGTTAAGGTTTAATTGCAAATTCTCAATATTTATGTAACTAGTAACCTCCTTCCCCAACCTCTGTTAATAAGGGAGAGTAAAGAAAACATTTTCATTCTAAAGATGATGCTTGTTTTGTACTTGCTTGCAGGAGAGATTGAAGTTGGTGACTGTTCTGGGTGCTGGTCTGCTGTGTGGAACTGCCTTGGCTGTCATTGTGCCAGAAGGAGTACATGCACTTTATGAAGACATTTTGGAGGGTAAGAACCAAACCCAGGTGGCCTAGTTCAAGATAACTTTAAGTCATGGTGTTATGATGTACTGAGACTTCTTGTTAGAGTTTTTAACATGCGATTAATGGAAGAGCTTCACAACAGCATGACACAAAGCTGGCATAGAAATGCAAAACTGCTGTAGGCATGATATTGCACATTGAGGGATGTGATTAGACTGTAAAGTGACTATTCTTGCTGAGTTATCCAGTTATTTGTGGGTCTGGATACTGYACTGTTCATGGAATAACGGCCTTTTCTGACAGTTTATGTGTAGTGTTTCTTATTCTGGGGAGAGTTAACCTCCCCTGGAGCTTTGAAAGAGGTGTAAGCATGCCTTTGGCAGAGAATGTAATTATGGAGTATTTGCTGTTTCTTTTCATCGTTTAGATTGCTTCTCATTAAAGCAATTGCAGGAGGTGTTTTACAGTTCCATGTCCCTGCCCTCATAAGAATTTCACCTGAAGCTGAAGAACATTTTGGGATTAACATATTTAGCTGAAAGTTATCATTATATAGGGCTAGCTTACAGAAAAAAGCAGTCATTTCTTTCTTGGTGGTGGTGTACATTACACATCTAAATCTCTGTTTTCCAGTTCAAGCATCCAGTTCTAGTTTGCTGTCACTACCTTCACCATCTCATCATTTTTAATGAGGAGCTCAAAGTGAGCAGAGATTGTGTCTTGCAGTGATGTTTATGTGGAGCATGTCTTACAGCCAAAAATCTTAATAGAGCTCAGTTTATGACATTGTTTTAAATAGCCAGGGCTCATCCCCTCTGTTTGGGTGTTAAATTTTTCTTTAGCTTGGGGACTTGTGCTGTTAGATGATCATTGCATGTATGAAATTTTTCCAGCACGCTCAGAATCAGGTTTGAAGGTAAGTGGCAATGCCTTACAGGTTGCAGGGGAAAGGGCTATAAACCTGAGGCTCTAGAGACCTTTCCAAGCATCTGGTATACTGTTGTTGCTGTTCTGGGATTGAGAGGTATCTGTAGTTCTTTGCTTTTCTTGTAGTACTGGGTTTTGTGTTTCTAAACTTTTAAATTTCATTTTAGTAATATGCTTTAATGTATACTGTTTTAGCTTCCACTAAATTTATGTTGTTCTGCTTGGATTTAGAATAAATAGAAGATAATACATAAAATCATCCTTTATCAAGAAATGAAAGAAGCTCTGATTATGCTTTTATACTGTACTATAATTTGTGCACTCTAATGTCGGATGTCTCTAATGAGCTGTCGTTGTGGGTTTGCTCTCCATTYAATTTTAATTCTAAGTAGACTGATTTTCTCTTATAATGGTACTGCCAGCAGTGAATACAATTACTGTGAACGTTTGTGAGTTTTAATACTTTCTCAGTAAATGGGGAATACTGGTCATGTATGACATCTACAGCTTGCTGTGTAGAGCTGTGTGGGCTATACCTTTGTATAGTATATGGYGAAAAAAGATGCTTCCTAGTACTGCAGTAGTAATATCAGAAGTATTTACCTAGGAAAAAGAGTCTGTCTGTGAATGGGTTCAGACTCAATGTCTAAAGCACAGTATTGTGTCTAAAGCCAGTCTGTCTGTAAAGATTTTTTTTTATATTACAAAGGGGAAGAATTAATGGGTGTTACAGATTTAACTACAAAAATTATTTCTAGTACTTTTCTAAGAAAAGTAGGATATTCAAAATTAAAATTATGAGAACAGCTTTCTCTTTTTTCTYAAGTTCATGTATTTATGTAATTAAATCTAGAAAGGTGCAGCTAAGGGAAACGGAGGTATATTCATTTAAGGGGAGAAACAAAGAGAGGTCTTTGTTTTCCCTTTTTTTCAGGTAGCTTAACTCTGACTGGTTGCTTGTTATCAAGCATTTGAGTGTTTTTTGTTGATATGGAAGTAATTACTCTTCTGTATTTACCCACGGGCCATGGAATGAATAACTTCTAAGTTTTCACCTTGTAGGCTGAGACCATATCTTGACTTGGATTATTCTTTGATCATAAACTTGTTCATATGTGTAGTGAAACCTTGGTTTGGTTACTACCAGCAAACAAAATTCCTTTGCTGATTTCAGTCTTTTGTTTTAATTGCTGAACCTGTATAACCACTGTCAGAAAGATTGCCCTGAGTTATACACTGTGTTTTACGGCTTGAAATGATCTRAAGCAAAGTCAACTTCATAATACAGATGGAAACAATCTCGTGTGGTCTAAAGTAATTTTACTGATCARTCTTGTTCAGCAAAGGTGTGTTTGAGGTCTTTGTTACCAAGCCTAGTCTGCTGTGCTTTAACTGTAGTAATGGCATTGCGACATTTTGTACAGTGGGATGAACATATACTTGTCTCATCCAAGAAGATGTATGAATATTCCAGCAAGTGTAGACCATGATTTGCTAGAGTTTTTGGTGTAAGTTTCGAAAACTTCGGAAGAGTACTTGCCATCCAAAAGACCTACTCAAAATGAAAAAAGCATGGACAAGGTTTAGTAGCTTGTGTAGGAAAGGAAACAACCACACATCATTCATCCCCAGGGCTTGGTCTTTGGGTTTCTGGGATGGTACTGACATTTGTAGGGTCAGTRTGCATGACTTCTGTTCTAGTCCATATCAATGGGGTGTATCAATACTAGCTTGTTTATCTCTCAGAGCATCGGTTAATCCTCTTAAAGGTGGTATTAAATCTTTGAGTGGCTGGAACCTATTTTATCTCCCTCATCCTGTCTTTTCTCACTTAGATGAAGATAATGAYGTAACTGCTTGACAGTATCTCTGAATGCTGACAAAATTGGCAACTTCAGTTAAAAAAGGAATTATACAGCAATTTTATTAATTAATTTGTATTTAAAATGCAGCCTGGCTTATAACATATTAATGCTTTCCCAAGTCCATTATCTAAGAAAGGCCTTAAACAAGGTCTTATGTGTTTGTCCAGGAAAAGGTGAGGAAGGCTTTTGGCAAAGGAGGGAAGAAGTGACTATGTCATGTCAGTCCCCTGTCCCCTTATCTGTTTGCTTGCCTGTCACAGGGAAGCATCACCCAGCGAGTGAGATGCAGCACGTGATTGAGTCGGAGAAGGTTGCAAAAATCCCAGCTGTACATGAGCATGGCCATGACCATTCCAGGTTGCATGCCTACATTGGTGTGTCCCTTGTCCTCGGCTTTGTCTTCATGCTGTTGGTGGATCAGATAGGCAGCTCTCATGTACACGCTACAGATGGTAAGTAAAGAATCACTTCTATTAGACTTGCTAATTAGTCTTAATTAGCAAATTGCTTTTTTTTTTAATGCTACCAGGATTTAATTTGTCYAGTCATGTCCAGAGTTTCAGTAGGTGCTTTAAATCATAAAACAAGGTCCATGTGAAATGTTTATGCTGGAAATCTTATCTCAAAATTCACCATACTTTTGAGAGCTTGCCTYGCTAACATGAAATAATTGTATGAGTACGTATGGTGTAAGAATGAAGAGTGACTTGACACTTGAGTTATTGTCTGTTTTACAGTATCATCCATAGGGGATTTCTTTGGCTTTCCAAAAAACTTCACATTAGTCATATTCGTTTGTTTTTTTCTTACTTGTCATAGACGTAGGTAAAATTTGCAAAGAACAGTTTATCTTAAGTAAGATGGCAGAAGTTGTTAGMTGTAAGCTCTGGTACTTTACTACGCTGCATAACTGGACCTCCCCACTTGTCTAGAGCCTMACTTACTTCAAAATACTTTCTGCTTTATCTGAAGATTTGTCAACTTCTTGCAAGACTCTAAAAATGCCTACAGTTGCCTTTGTTTCCTGCTGTGACTTCATGCTCAGARTGTAGCTTGAAATGCACCAAAGTTGTTCTGTCATTTGAAAAGGTGTTTTGTTGTCTTTGGTTGCTTGTTTTCTCCCGCACAATGTCCTCTGATGGTGGAATTTGGCCCTGAAAAATTAAGGAATTGATCTTAAAACACACACAAGGAAGGGGGGATATGTTTTGATTGGCTTCTTGTCAATTCACAGTGTAGCTTGCAAGGGGTTAGTGTGATGGGACAAATGAAAGGCCAGCACAGGGGCTGTATCACCTATGTGCTCCTGAAGAAGTGTAAATGGACACAGCCATGAGTAGCTGATTTTCAGAGCTGTTCTAAAGAAACAATGGCAGTGAAGATGTCAGAGAGATGCAGAGTAACTTCCAACAGAATCCTTGGTTTGTATAGGTTATGACCCTTTTCTATGTCTCTGATTGTAGCAAATACCACGAGAAAACTGACTGTAATCTGTGTTGGAGATACACAATATAAAATAAGGTTGTATCTGGCCTGTACCTGTCACAGGAGATGTAGTAGTGTCTTTGCAATRTTTTTTTAAAGCGACTGAAGAAAAACATTTTTCCCTTGAACCACTGTCTTGTAGTTTTGTTTTCTGTCAAATGACTASATATTACTTGTCTAAACTAGAAAAATTAAGTAGGTCAGAATGAAGATATGAAGTCAGATGTGACTTTGATTGTTGTTTAGTAAYAGTCAATCCAAATGGTAAAGGATAAACAATGATAAAGGATATGGTTTTTGTATCTCTTCATATATGACATGAGAATACCATTTGCTGTCATGCAAGTTGAGCTTATGCAATGAATTGCTCACACAGGCTCCCCTTCATTCAGAAGTTTAAGTTGACCAAACAGAATGCATTAGTTTTTAGCCAACTCACTTCCCTGAKCTATCTCATTGGGAAACTACATGTSTGYCTGGKAATGAAGAAAGACTGGAGGGTGAGGGGGCAGGCAGGAGGAAAGAGCAGAACTGGAATTTCTGTTTTAGCTTCCCTGCAGACTTAATGAAGCAGCTGTGTAGGTGTACTTACAGTTGTCTTACAGACCACTGGGATAATTCWGTCATGGCTGTTCAACTGTCTGGAATTAAACAGTTGAATAATGAGATGTTTCTATACTTGGGTAGAGCTTACCCACCCTGCAGTGATTCTTTGTACCAGTGTCACCACTGATTGTGAAGTGATGGATATTATGGTGCCCTGTTGTGCTGTGTAATGAGCTAACCTGCAAATGTCCTCAGACCATTCTGGTCAAGACACTGTGTCTGAAACACCATTGGCTGCTTTTCTCCTTTGTGGTGTATAAYGTTGAAGGGAAATCTTTGAGACTGGTTCTGTGACAAGTAGACTTTATTGTTTACTCGGAACTGCCAGAGAATCACTGCAACAAAAACTGACCYGGATTGTCACCTGAARGAAACTAYGAACATTGAKCTGTGTGAGGGAAAAATCATCATGACTCTTGAATCAACTCTGGATTCTTGGGATCCAAAACCARTTTTTCTTTCCCTTGATGGCACAGACCTTTAACATTTCATTTCAGGAGGCTGAGAAAAACATCTGCTTCTGCCTGTGAGAGAGATCCTGCAAATTGCGAAGAATTGTCTGAGTCTGTCACTTGTTTGTTAGCAGAACTTCAGTTGTTTTGTGGGTGTTAAGTGTCACACTGTTTTACAGTAAATCTAATGCAGAAATACAGAAGCTGGTAGTTTTGAATAAACTGCCTAAGCAACTGGAGAGATATGCACAGTAATACTTGTAAATTTGTTTTCAGCATAATTTATTCRTTTGATCTCTTTATCCTAACTGTTCTCATGACTGTTTCAGATCCAGAAGCTGCGAGATCAGGCAACTCCAAAATCACCACAACACTGGGACTAGTAGTCCATGCTGCAGGTAATGTGGGCCTTATGGTTAGTGCTTGACAAGTATATGCATTGCTGTGTGGGTCATCTTTAGGTGTGGTGGAGACACTTGGGTTTTGCTTTTAAAGTTGGCTTTTTATAAAAACAAAAAAAAAAAGGCAGGGATAACTAAAGATCTTCCCCCAAATTAACTGGGAGCTCAGATGCTTCACTGAGTTTTATTTGGGTACAGAATTTTCTCTATTATTCTTTACTATACTCTTTTACTTTTCCCATCTGAAGGGTTGTGTGAAGCTCACTGTCTGCCACTTCAATTCCATTGCTGGCTTCTTTAGCTGCTACATTTCAATATATGCTAACACATTTGATAAATAGTGTGAAACACCTTCAGGTTTGCTTGTTTTTTTAAAAAAATCCTAATTTGAAAGAATAGTACCTTGTAGGGAAAAGACATTATGAGGTAAGAGCGCAAAGACTTGACTGAAAAACATTTGGGCTGAGTTTCAAGGACTTACTGTTAGGTATGTGTTACAGTCAAGCTATGTTCATATTGTAATTCTTCACTATATGTGTGTGGTATAAATATGCTTTTTCATGTTCTGTTGAAGGTTTTTGTCTAGATGAGTCAGAAGCTGTTGATTAAGAAGATACTTCACTGAACAAAATGTTTCTATTCATTTTTATTTCATTTATTTAATTTCATTTCAAGTGATAAAAAATTATATTACAATACTGTAAAAAGGTAAATTAAAGGGTAATAATTAAAATTCTTACAATGGTTAGTATTTAGACCAAACTTTTTAATTTAGACAGGAAGCCTCTTCTAGTACAAAGAGTAAAACAGCTAAACTTGTTCCTTGTTCAAATTTGAAGGATTGTGTCAATACTGAATAGAGTCTCAGTATGGTTTTTATGGCCTTGGGAAATATAAGACAGCTCTATTGAGGGTTGTTTGATATTCTGAAATGTTATGGCTTAACAAACAAGGGCAAATGAATCCTGTGTTGGGTTGCTATTGTTAATGGCAATTTTCTGTAACAGAACTTCTTAAATCAATGTGTTTTCTATTGTCAGCATTTAGGGGGGTGGGAAGCTCATGTGGAGGAATAATCCATGAATCTGCACTCCTTTTTCAGCTGATGGTGTTGCATTGGGTGCAGCAGCTTCTACTTCTCAGACTAGTGTCCAGTTGATAGTGTTTGTTGCAATTATGTTGCACAAGGTGAGTTACCATTAAAAATCTTTTGTTCTTCAAAAGACTGTTAAAGTTCATAGGAATTGCCAAAGATCTACAGTTTCATTAGTGATATAATACAGGAGTGTTTAATGCCACTGAAATTAAGAGGTTTGTAGTACAGTTTCAAGGACCAAAAAGCACCAGTGTGATGTGTGACAGAAGAGCATGTGATTGATGCTAAGTCTGAGTGGGGTGCAAGTGAGAATTCTGACTGCCTACTGCCTACCTTGGTTGCAGAGGTTGGGAAAAGTGTCCCAAAAGTGGGGAGAGAAGAGTATCTCATGAAGAAATGTGTCAGCTTCACACTGACTTCTTCTGAAGCTAGTGTGGTAGTGTTTATTTAACAAACAAAAACTCCTAGGTTACTACTGCTATAAGAGACCTATCCAGAGAAGTTCTAAAGGGTGAGGTACAGAGGTATATGCTAGTGTGTTCAAGGAGGAAAAGCAGTTTTATGCTGATTACAGCAGTCTTTTGGCTCTGTGATGTTCATAAGAAAATAGGAAGGATATTTGTTGTGAAGGGTTTTAGTGTTTAAAGGGTTAGTCTTTTGAAGCCACTGAATATCAAAGTACTAAATTACAACTGCTGATTATATCTGTTATAGTAGCTTCAACATCATTCATACCATTTTTGTCGGAAAACAAATGTTTTGCTGATGGTAACAAGCAAACAGTGCTTCTTGAAGATGGGAGGAGATCTTTGCTTAATGCTTGTGTGGATGTACTGATTTGCTGTATAGGCTCTAAACATGCATGTGCAGATGAGATTTGCCTTATGGTAGCACATACATTGATTACAGTGGTTCCTGATTGATGCTTTTGTCTTTCTCATCTTTTTTCCTTCACTCAYAGTTTCCTTCTTCTAAGGTTAAAAAGAATAAGGATTCTGTGTATAAAAATGTTTAATGTATTTTAGTTTTATGTCTTATCTCAGAAATGTCAGGGTCATTGCATTGTCTTTATGCAAGCAAAAATATAGTAAATTCTGTGAGTAGTGTGACATCTATGCCTTTTGGATAAGAAATTGGATGCCAGCAGGTGGAGAAAACTGAAGTATTTGTTTACTTCCTGGTGAGAACAGGAATGAACTGAATGATGAACTATCAAAAGAGCTCTCAAGTCTTGTTAACCTGGAGGCTGACTGTTACCTGTCTTTGGGCAACTTTTTCCCTTCCCATGTTAATTGTAGAATTTTTCTACTGCAGGTGAAGAACCTGTCTATCTAAGGATGTGTAATACTAATAGGATGGAAAAAGAAATTACCTAAATTAATGGAGTCTTAGGGATTATAGCAATGGCTCAAGTAAGAATGAATAKTTTAGTATTTATAATGACTACACAAGTACATGTTTTGTGATAGCCAGAAGGTGAGTTTCCATTAGGTTCTGTTATTAAGGTGGGGCAGTCTGCAGAATGTTCGTGGTTTGTATTAGCTGCAGTGTGCTAGTGACTGCCCTGAATGTCTTCCAGCTMAGTCCATTTCAATGTAGTAAGTAATATTTCAACAATATGTTTCTCATATTTTGGGAGGTTTTAGAAAGTATTGTATTGCCACTGAATATTGTTTTTTGTAGGCACCAGCTGCATTTGGCCTGGTTTCCTTCCTGATGCACGCTGGGCTAGAACGGAATCGAATCAGAAAACACTTGCTGGTCTTTGCATTAGCAGCACCTGTTATGTCGATGCTGACATACTTAGGGCTAAGCAAGGTAGGTCTGTGATTTTATTGTGCCTAAAATCTGGCTTAGTGGTGGAGTTTGGGGAAAGAGCTGTTATGAGAGTTTSAAATTACATAATTCCAAACTGCTGGAAAAATTCAGCAGAAAGAAAATTCAAGAGAAGTTGATGAAAAGGTAGCATTATGAATGCACAAACCAAATAATCACCTATGCTTTTGCATCAGAATCAGTGACATAACTCCCGTATAGAGTTTGGCATAGCTTTTATTGAAAAGTCTAATTTCTGTCATTATCCTTTCTGCTGCTCCCCACTGGGAACAATTTATTTATATACGAGTTTTTATCTGATGCCTATTTAAATAAGTAATTTTCAGCACTGATGCACACATTTTTCTTTTAATATGCAGGTAGGAAATAATCTCCCCTTGTTTCCCCCACCATCCCAGAAGTGGTCTTCCATATTCAAAGTCTGTGTCAGAAGTTGAATCCTCAGTTAAAACAGTTGTTTTGCCTTACTCTGTAAAGCATTGTTGTGTCTTGGGTCTGTACAACAAATGGCCTGTGAAATGGGACGCTGCACATGAGTTTATCATCTCTGTCCAACCTAAATGTTTCTGCTCCTCATAACATATCCCAGGATGATCCTGTATTTTTAAATTGTGTTGTGTCATACTGGTGACATGCTGTGGTCRTGTGTTGTAAAGGATATAACACATGATCTCACAAAACTCAAGGCATGAGAGGAAAGATTAAATAAATCATCTGTGCTAATCCTTTTTTTGCTGGATAGGAGTTGTATTTGACATTACAGTGCAAGAGACAACAGAAAAAGAGGTTTGGCTTGTAAACAGAAAAGAGAATTTTCTGAGCACTCTTGTGAAGTGTCCTCATCAAGGGTTGGATTTACATTTTGCCCTTCAGAAAGAACAGAGAATTGATAAGGCATCAGAGCTGTCACAGTAGTTTTATAGTTCCGGATGAGGTATCTTTGCTCTTTGGAAAAGTGACCTGAGAGTATACCCAAGAACTATGATTACATCTGAGTTCGAGAGTGTTCAAGAATCTTTTGATTCTGATATGAGTGGATTTGCATTTCATTGCATTTACTGATGTGTAGCACATTTTAGTCTTATTTTAATTTTGAAGATGAAGAGGTGCTCAGTTTTGATGCAGAAGATGCATTTATTCATGAACTTTGCATAGAAATCCTGGCAAAGTTTTGCATGTTTACTTCTACATACAAATGAAATATTGAATGAGTGATGTTTTGGGACTTGGTTCCAAAGAGCAGTGGCCCAAGTATTTAAAAGCAAACACCTTATTTGAACTCTTCGTTTAGAAAAAGCGAGGGGAAAAGTCAGTCTTGARCATTCTCCCCAAAATTTGTGGCTTTGCAATATGAACTTAGGTTTTTTTTCACAATGTTTGGTATGTTAGCTGTGAGATGGTCAAAAAAGGTGCTTCAACAGACTGTGACTTCTTTGCTTTTCTGAGGGTTCTTTTATTAGGATTAAGTCCAAAATGAAGTAGCTAGGAGGAAAGGTGTCTTTTTGTTCCCCTACAATTTTATAGTGTCAGTTTCTGCATATAAGATGCAAGACACAAAAAAACTGCACAAAACCATTGTCATTGTGAGACAACAAGAGTTGATAGAATTCCTACTGTGCCTGGATACTGAGAGAATTTTTTTTTTGTTACTGGTTGAAAAACTTTTGCTTATTCTCACTTTCTTTGCTCTTTGTGTTTCAGAGCAGCAAAGAAGCCCTTTCAGAAGTCAATGCCACTGGAGTTGCTATGCTGTTTTCTGCTGGAACTTTTCTTTATGTTGCCACAGTTCATGTCCTCCCGGAAGTAGGAGGAATTGCTCATAGCCACAAACCTGAATCAACTGGAGGAAAGGGACTCAGTCGCCTGGAGGTGGCAGCCCTAGTATTAGGGTGCCTTATTCCTCTAGTTTTGTCCATTGGACACCATCACTAAACACTCAAATTTCACTGCTCTCCTCCTCGATACGACATGAGCAGTAAATGTCTGCTGCTCCCTTTATCATTCTCTTACCCCTCATCCATCCCATCCACTTTATGGAGTTCAGAGGGAATCGATTGCAAAATGAGGAATACTGGGAAAGTTTTTAGTGTAGCAAAATGTACTTTGGCAGCYGGACATAAATTCTATGTAACTTTCTTTTCTGAAGACATTTGCTGTTTTAATTGTTACTTCTGGCCCTATTCTCAGGGAAGATGGAATTTGAAGTTTAAGAAAGGTGAACAGGGAAGAACATAGTGGCTCATCACAAAATTGCAATCACCAAAGTATCCTGCAGTTCTGCTTTCACAGCTGAGAGCAAAACCCAAGGGTGGCTACGATTTGAGAGGTTGAAGCCTCACTRATGAAGAATGGGGCTCTCCCCCATTGGTTCTTCGTTGTCTTGGCAAGGCGACTGACCCTTGTGATGCTTGTCATTTACTGTATTGCAGAAATGGGCTGCACTGGGAACTCTGGATAACACTGCTATTGTCACAGGAGTGGCACTTCATAGGAAAGGAATTATGTAGACTGTGTAGGATTAGGGTAAGAAATCAGCTAGTTAAGAAAGTGCAAACRAGTTTTGCAGTGTATTCCTTTATTTAAGACAAAGGATAGAARCAAGGAGAATAGTATTTTGTTTATGCAATTGTTAATAAATTCTGAAAAGGCATTGTTTCTTGGGAGATGGTCTGCCAAGTTAGTCAAGTGTTAAGCACCAAAAATGTTAGCAGAAATTATGTATTGGCTGCTATGATACACTGCTGCTTCTGTTGAGGGAGACACCCATATTGCCCTTTGAAACAGAGCTATTCTGGGCTCTGAGGAGTAGAAATCAGATGTRGACAGCTGTTGAGGGAGCAGAGAACATTGCCTAGCTCATTTTCAAAAACCTGAACTGCTGAAATCAGTGGGGGCTGTGTGGGTTTTTAACTAAATAACAAAACAAGATGTTTAGGTAAATGTTTATGCTGCAGATAGAATACAAAGTGTTTCTAAAGCACTTATGGACTAAAACAAAACAAAACAACCCACAAAYAAAAAAACAAATTGGTGGGTTACCAGTGGACCGGTTAGACATTTTGCCTTTCCTTTGGGAATTGTTCATTCGCCTCTTACCAACAAGCATTAGTTGGTGAATCTACTGGAGGACTTGTTACCAATTGCTGGTATGTCTAACTGCAGAGTGGTAAAAGATCTCTCCATTTCCAAGGCACAGCTTTGTCTTACCAGGCACAATTTCCCTTATGCAAAATAGCTTATACTCTAATAACTGTAGTGCATTGAAAAGTCAKGAATGCTTGACATGCACAGAATCAGCATAAAATTCTTTCTTTGGGRGGAAAATTTTTAATGCTGTACCCCTTTTAAGCTATACTTTGTCTGCACTTTTTGAAGATAACATTGCCAAATTTCTTTTTCTTTCTTCTTTTTGATTTTTTAAAATGAATTTTGAAGTCTTGAAATACCTTCTTAACTGAAGTGCTTTTTGTTTTCATTTGAATGAGTGTGACTCTTTTTCATGACATTTATTGCTTAAGCTGCATAGCCCATTGTGCCTCATAACATCTTTACATTTTGTTMTTGTCCTGTATGTCTGTTAGTAGTATTGGATATGGCCTGGCTCTTGGGCTAGTGATTACTTTGTCTGTTGGCTCTCTAACAATATCAATCCTGGGACACACCCAGGATTGAACCTAGTATTGATTCCCAGGAGTGCTTGTTCATTTGTGTGTTTTACTGTATAAGATCAATGCAAAATTGTTAGAAGTCGTATTTTCCCACGAGACAGTATTTTCAGGTAGAATTAGTGCTTCAGACCTAAAAAAGCTTTTTTTTTTTGATATTACATCTTCAATATTGTCATCWAAAAAGCCAGTGCGAAATTAGTGATGTGGATGAAATCCTCTTCTGTGCATTTTTAAATGGTTTTGCCTGTTTATTTTGGTTTTGACATTTTTACGACATAATGCAACTGGTAAGTTACTGATGTGAAAAGTTCAGCAGGRCAGGTTCCTAACACGTGCAAATGACACACAGGGATGTTTACTCCAGAGTTATGTTCCTCCTGATTATTTCCTTCGTCCTTACAATCTCACTATTTTACCACATTTAATCTTTCCACATAACCATTTCCAAAAGCTGGAGGGTTTGCAAGAGCAGGAGCAGGAGAAACTTTGGTGCAGCACTGGRTGCTTATATTTAGTAAAGCAGTAAGTTTTTATTCTTTGAACTCTGTCCTGTCACTTCCATGCACACCCCACCTTGGGAGTTAAGCTGACATCCTGACTGCATTCCCCTTCAGGCTCACTTTGTGCATAGCAATAGCAATGGTTTGGGAGGTAAGGTCCTGTTTCATGCCTTTTGTTCCAGGTTGAAGCATGTGGATAGTACCTTTTTACATGGATCAGTGTGTATCAGTAAGGATGTGGCAGTCARGCTTTTCACTGCTGAAATAAYCTCTGGTACATTWATCATAGGTGCCACTGCTAAGAGGTCTCGTCATGTTTCTGTTTTCCTGTCCTTCAGATCGTGTTTCCAGTTTCTGAGGCAGCCATCGGAAATAGTAATACTCAGTTTAATGATTCATGAAACAGAGGCCAAGTTATAGCAGCAGGTGAGGGAATTTGAATGAAAGCATTGGCAACTTCAAACTTGCACAAAAATTTTGAAAACAAACTTTTCATTTTGGCATTTACTTAAGTGATAGAAGACTCTGATTTTTTTTCTACCCATTTAGAAGCAGCAACAGCATTTTGTTTTGGCTGCCTCTTACCTCTGTTGAATTATTATTTTCAATTCTGTAACTGTAACGCAGTGACTAAAGAAGCTTTTGGTTATGTTGATACGGAGAATGTAAAATTTTATCAAAGCTTTCCAAATTGTTAGTACCACATGGAAGATTGTTTTCTTGATGCAGAGTATTTTAATGAGTTAAATGAAATGGTCTATTCTATTATAGACCTCTCTTTCTACCTATCTCCCCATCTGTCACAGTAAATCCAAGCATTGCGTGTAGTCAGGGCCATCTGGTATCATTTTCTACTCCTCAGGACACCTCAGTGCAAACAAACTCTTCTTTCTTTCTAATAGCCCCCTCTGCCTGTTTTTTCTTCTGTGAGGTAGGTGGCAGCAGGTCTAGCAGGTAAACACTTAAACCAAGTGCCAGCCATGTTCCCCTGGCTTCTGTAAGTCCTGCTAGGAAACCCATAATCTTCTCATCACCTGTTTCTTTTCAGTTAATGATTTCTTAATTGGCAATAGGAATTGGACTTTAACTGTTTCTGTTGATCCTGATGTCTTCAGGTACTTTCCTTACTGTTCTTAATGCTTTTATTTTTCCTTATATRAAGAAGGAAAGACTTCTTTTTCAGCACTCAGTGACAGATACAGAAGCTGCACTGACAATGGCAGAGCTGTCACACCAATACAGGATTTTTTGATTGTTGTGGCTTGTCAGAAGGCTGGGTGTCAAATGCAGAAACTCACTGTTGACTACAAAGAACCATTWCCAGGTGGATTATGTAAAAAGCTAATCTTATCCAAGAGGCCCAGGAAAACCACTGTGTTTATTCAGGAACTAGTTCAGAGCCTTCAAGGAGCTTTTGACAGTAGCAAGTGTGTCCATGTGATAACAGCTAAATGCAGAAAAGAGAGATATGACGTGGAATAAATGTTCCTGCTGCTCCRTTCCCATTCTGTGCTGGGACTTGGGAAAAAGAGAAGGGAAGTGTACGTCTATTCTTTTGAGGAAGGAGGAAGAGTGATTGCAGTATGGTGGGAAAGTTTATGATGAATATCGAATTCTTTATCAGAAATTTCAGATTCCTGTTCACATCAAACTTCTTTTAATTTTTTTTCCTTACTGTCCTTATATCTCTTAGCAGCCTTGGCTTTCCAGGGAAAAACATTGTGTGGTCACTGCTCTTTACCTGACTCCATGTATGGAACTGTAATTTTAATGTCTTTTTTTTCCAAACCATTTGTACACAAAATCATTCCATGAATGGCTGCCTTATAATTTTTCCACTTTAATTGTGAATGGTTAAAATAATATTGCCGTTTTCAATTTGTTTTATTATATTAAATTTTTACTAGGTGCAGTGCTTTGGAGTTGGCTTGTCATTTACTGCATGGGGTTTTGTGACAGCTCTGACAGAAAGAAATGAGTTTGAAATGGGATGCAAGCAGTGCAAGGCAGTGCATTTTATTTTTGTGGGAGTGCGTTTCCTGCTTCTGTTCATGATGTCTGAGCACCTCCGGCAAACCTGGAATGGGAAGCTGCATGTTGGGAGGCAATCTACCAGATGGGTTTGGATATGGCTCTGAATGTGTTTCAGAGGTATTAATGTAGAGGTGATGCTTGAGCAGGGCATTTGGCAAATTGTGTATCTCACAGCRTTTAGGGGTTGGTATTGCCCTGAAGCTGTCTCCTCACACACCCCCAGAGCACCCCCGGGGACCTTGCAAGGTTGAAACCTCTTTGGAGAGCAGCAAGGAGATGATGAGCTCAAGCCACCATTAAAAAGCCCAAGGACTTTTGACACTTGCAGGTGTATCCATACCTTTAGCTTTAGAACTAAAGGAAATACCTTTACTCCATCCTGTGTCCTGTCTGTCCCAAACCCAAAATGGAACCACTAAATCCCTCCATTCTGTTTGGAGTCTTTGTGACAAAGCCTTTCCTTTATCCATATGTGGGCCTCAGTGAAATTTGGGTGAAAAGTCAGCTTTAAAACCTAGCCTGCTTTTTGTTCTTGTGTTGGGGGGGAAAAGTGTTGGTGAAATGTTTCATGTCCCTGTTACGTGTTTAGTTGGGGTTTTTTTTCCTCCTATCTTGCTGTTTTCAGGTGCAGAGTCACAGCTCAGCTTTCCTTGTGACTGCCCAGTGATCCTACTKCTTACCTGTTGACAGCTCTTCAGTGTTGCTTTGCCTTCACTGTTGATGCAATTTCACTGGAAGGCAGCTCACCTCCCTCCCGCAKCCTGCAATCACATGGAAGCCTATTAAGCTATAGTTTCCTGTGTTCTCTCTAATGCCACAGTGGTCATTATAACTGAGARGGGATTGTGTTCTTGCTGTGGAGAAAACCTGTCTTCTCAGGCTCCTGAATTTCTCTGGGTTTTATTTTCCACCAACATAATCTGGAGTGGCAAAAAATAGTAGGATATTAATAGTGATCTCTGAGAGGCAGGGGTTAGGAAGAGTGCTTGGAAAATTAGTTCTGTTTAATCAGAGCTAMAGCTTGCAGGGCAGTTGGTTTAAGACACTTTAAGCCACATTTTTAGGGTCTATASGTTTTATTAAAAGATTTTTTAGAGACTCAGTGAATTGCACATTGTGTGCTGTGATCACAGAAGAGGCAAACTTTTAGAAAAAGAAATTCAATGGATTTATATGGCAAGATGCAACTTTAAAGAATGACCAACTTAGGCACATTTGACTAAAAATATTACTTTACCAGGTTTGGTTGGGACTAGATTTAACATTTTAAAACACGTGTAGGGCTCAAATAAATAGATGAATTGGAGGAGCAAATGGAAAGGTGTCCATTTGCCTGTGTCTTGCCAAAGTATCTGCCATTGTGTGTATAATATTACGGGTTTGTAGAAGCAAGTTATTACCACTGCAACATTCTTTTGCTACTGTCAGGTTTTAGAGCAAGGATGAGAATCAGAGTTGGGATACTTGGAATAATTAGGAAGTTGATTCTGTCACAAGGCAGTCCATAAGGAAATATCTGCATAGGCTTTTCATATCTATAGGTAGATCTGTGGGGTTTGGGTTTTGCAAGCCAGTGGTCTGCAACTTTGCCTCTTGACCTTGCATGACAAAACTATCAGCTGGAGCAGTGTAGGAAGGATAAAGCAGTCTGAGCAGCTTACAGATGGGCTTGCCTTTCCTTCCCTGGTGTGGGGATGGTACTTGGCAAGTTCTTCAGCACTTTGTGCAAAAGTGCTGATTGAATGTGGTCTAGAKCACTGATTGCAGAGTGATGGAGGCTGGAAGAGACCTGCAGGTGTAATCTAGTCCAGTAACACCTCTGCTCAAGCAGGGCCACCTAGAGCCACTYACCCAGGACCATGTCCGGATGGCTTTTGAGTAGGCCCAAGAAGGGAGACTGGACAACCTCCCTGGGCAACTGTGCCCAGTGCTCAGTAATGCAGTAAGAAAGCATGCAGAGGGAGTGCTCTATGTTTCAGTATGTGCCTGTTGCCTCATCCTGTAACTGGGCATCATTGAAAATAGTCTGGCTTCATCCCTTTTGCATCCTTCTCTCAAGTATTTGCATACATTGATGAGATTCCTCTTAGAGCTGTTGAATCGACATGTTGTATATATGTTCTCCATACTTTCCAGCGCCCCTGTAGGCAGGACTAGGTGTTAGGCCTGCATTTTCAGAAAAGAGAAAGGGGAATGTTGCTGTTACAGGATSAGTTATGTATGCATTTGCAAACTTCATGCATCCATTTAAGAGATTGTGCTTGATGGAGAGATGATTCATGAGCAATTCATTAAAAAAAAGTATGTTTTTCTGCTGCACTTGCTGTCTACAGATTTATCTGAGATTCTGTCCTAYAGTGTTTTAGCTCTTTCACTCCAGCAATAAGCAATCCTCTCAGCTGGTTGCTTGCTTTTGATTTTTCTGGCAGCTCATAGGACTTGTGTCATTAAGAAAGAGTGTAATCTCTATACTGGCTTAAGCACAAGAGAATATGATTAATGTAAAGTCAGTAGGAGAAAGTAAGCAAACGACAGAGGTGCTGTTAAAGCTGATACAAGCAGATGTAAAGCAGTAAGGATGGAAAGCCAGTATTTTTCCCAGTCTTAGTTTTTTGGCAAATAAACCTCAGTTTTAATGGTAAAGCATTAAGAAGTATATTAGCATTCTTTTAGTGTATTTAGTAAAATACGTCATCTCTGTAACTAGAGTCCTAATCACTGTAGTCTGTGATAAATCCTTTTGGAGATGTGAGGAAGTTCTGTAGGTACATTTACGTTACAAGAGTTAACCACTACAAACTTTAAATATTWGGGAGCTGTGGTGTTGCTGACTTCCTGATGATTGCTGTAGAGTGTTCCTTCATTTGTTAAGGCAATAAAAATGTGCATCAGCATTTTTATGAGAGACCCATTCGGGATGAGCACAGCAGCAAGAAGATGAGCTGTCATCTATTGTTCCAACTTACAAATTAAGCCATTCTTCTACTGATATGTGCAAGCYTTATCCAAATATGCCTGCAGGCACAATTGCACAACATTCCACCCTCCTYATCAYAGCACCTCCCTCTTGTCTGAGATGKCAAGAGATTAACAAACCCTTATGGTGTGTGAGGGGTAAAGAAAAATGCCTCATTCAGAAAAACTTGTAGACCTAATKAAAATAAAATTATATCAAGCTGACTGACACCAAAGCTACATAGTATTTAGAAAATCTAAAAGCAGATTGAAATTATTAGGGAAGAATGCTTATTCTCTATCTGTATGCCCAGCCAGTATCTGAAGTGGTAATTAAATTATGATATATGATTATAGTTACATTGCAGTCTGTGGAGGTTAATGAGCTTTTGCTGTCTGAGGAAACACCTTCAATGAGATACTCATGGTTACACAGGGTTGAAGAGGGCTGTTAAAACCCTGCTTACAAGSCTTACAATGACTCTGAATTACTCTTACTGTGTCATACTCAAGCGTTTCTTGCTCTCAGAGGGTGATGCTATCAGTAAAATGARTCGAGTTTTAGGACTGCAATGGATTTCCTGTGTTCTGTTGTCTCTTTTTGACAGAAACTGAGAGGGGACTGATCTTGAACAAAACTTTGTACYCCTGGTATCTCCTCTGTGCAGACACATCACGTGAAGGTGACTGGCTACAGGTGGATGATTAGGCAGTGGGTCATGTTTATCCCTAYAATCAAAACTTTAGCATTATGAAAGAAGCCTCATCTACAAAAAATGTGTGGCAGCACGGCTCACAGGAGAGTAAAAGGGATGGCCCTCTTAGCCTGCTGTATGTTGCAGAGGGCAATGTCTTCATGTCCTTCSTTGCCAGACAGTTTATCTTTCATCTGGCTGCTGGCTCTCCTCAACATTGCAGGGTTTGAGTTGAGCTGTCATGGTCTGCTGCTATRGTAGATGGCAGCAGTAGATCTTTGTTCCTCTGTACTTAGATAACCACTTGAGAATGTGGGTAGGAAGGAGGCAAGTGGTACATCTTGTGCCTGTCCTGTGCATGTGCGCAGCAGGAGCCCTGACCTTACTRTGACTGGATGAGCAGCATCAGGGAACAGAGACAGAAACTTGAAGTGGGCCTGCTGCAACTTCTTTCCTGTCCCTGTGTTTGGAGGTAGCCATTAAAAAGGAAGTAGCCTTTTTAATGAGGCAGGGTCCAAGCATTTTCTGTTTGTCAGCCATATGATCRCTTTGTGGTATTTAGGCTTGCTGGAGAAAAAAAAAACTGGTGCCTTGCAGGAAGCCTGTGGGTTATTTTCTGGAGGTAGCTTTCAAATGTAGCTGACCACTCTGATGTATTCTGAAAAATGGCTTTTTAGCAGAAATCTTTGTTTAACAAAACAAAACACCAGAGTAAATGAGTTTTCTTTCAGAAGAGATCTTAGTAGAATTTTTTGAAAAGTATCTCCTTTTCATGCTGAGAGAAATAGTTATTGAYTGCAGTGTCAATTCCTGAGAAAGCTACCTCCCAAAAGCCAGGCTGTGGGGCTGGCTGCTTGCTATCAAATCCCTTTGCTTCAGTGAACTGATACCTTGTTTTCTGTGTTCCTCTAAATCTCCTGAAGTGGTGCTATATGCACAGCAAGTAGTTGGATTAATATGACTCCTGGGCTATCCAACATTGATCTCAGTGGGTTTGAAGGGCTTGGACTAGAACAGGTCACTGAGATCACATAATTCTTACCAAGGGATGATGTCACATGGGRTCATACGTCTGTAAGGGTGATGTCAGATGAGGTTGAAAATCTACACAGGGACTTTAATGCCGTTTGCTGAGTAACTTTGATTTCTGCAGAACAGCTCTGACATTCCATCTGACACTGAAAATTTAATCATGTGCAAAAGAAACATGCTTTGTCAGTGTGTCTCACTAGAGGTGGATTGATGGTAGTTGCTTTTGTTCTATTTAAAATAGCCTCTGYACGCAACTGGGTATCTAGGAAGCTGGAGCATCACTTTGAGGAGTACGTGTGACATTTTGTCTTTGCAYGAAAGATACCATAAATGAAACTGCAACTGGACTCTTTCTTCACACTGTTCAGATACCTGCTAATATTTCTTAGGGTTAAAAATGGCTGTGGAATTCATTAGAAGCTGGAAAAGGAATCTATAATGGAAGGTAAGATCTGAATTTCTCCAACTCCAGGGTAGCTCTGAGGAATCTCAACTTACTGGCCCCAGCTCAAGCAGATTGTTTTTTTTCTGCATAGTGCCCTATTGTAAGGCTGCCCAGAACATGAAGTATAACTTTTCGCTTAAAAAAAAATTAAAAATGCAAGCCTCCTCAGCAGCTGAAGTTAGCCAGTATATATCTCCTTAGACCGAAAGGGAGCATCTTTGCGCTGGACGGTGACCTGTGGTGAAGGCACATGGTGTGATTCTTGGGCATGTCCTGTGCAGGGCTAAGATTGGCCTTGATGATCCTTGTAGGTCCATTCCAACTCAGGTTATTATGTGAAGGAGTGTTACTTCTGTATAGTTTGCATTGCTGTTTGCTTCAAAGGTTTTATTTTTAGCAAAAGTTTATTGGCTTGATGTGTAGGAAAAATAAAGACAACACATTAGCAAAGTAATTCCCATACCATTGCAACCTGTTGTTCCACAGAAAGGTTTTCTGATTAAAGCTTCAGTGTTTTCTCTCAAGGATGTACAGCTGTGTTTCCCCTTAATTAGGTTAGCATACACACAAAGGAAATGTTAAAAGAACTGCTATTACTCCAGATTACTGTGTCGAGACACCAGCAGTTACAAAATGCACCTTTCTGCTGTCTACTGTCCTAGCATTGCTAGCYTGTCACTTGATAAAAGCAAGTTGCTCTTTCCCTCCCCTGTACTGTTGACTTTAAAGAACTTGCTGTAGCTACTCACTGCCTTGCTTGTCTTAGAGGCCTCCAGAGGAAAAAAAAATCTCACTTTTTGATGTTCAAAGCCAGAAACCTCTTTAGTCTCTTGGTCTATATAAGGTGAAAATAAGGAAAGAAGCAAAGGATGAAAATATGCTTCTCCCCACCACAAGTCATTGCTGTCAGACCTTTGCATTGTTGGTGCAGTACAATGGCAGGGGCACTGGATTGTCCATACATGGGAGCTCTGTGGCTTTTTACTGCACATTTATAGAGTKAAGTGAGGCTGTTGGGCCCAGAATAATTTTTACCCTTTGTGCAACATAATTTGAGGGAAAATTGCCCCTCTCCTAGTTATGAGTACTATGTTCTTCTTGGTGCTGTATACAGAATGGTGTCTGTAGCATTAATTCTTCTCTTCTGCAATGCAGAGTTATATTCAAGAATTAGAGCTCCGGTGAGATGGAGACTGTATTTGCTGCTCTCTTCTCCACCCTCTGCCTTCAAGTCACTCTGAGATGGGACATGTCCTGTCTGGCCAAAAGGCTGGTCAGAGCCACGGTGATAGAAAGTAACAAATCACGGAGTTTACTGACTCTCAGCTATTGATCAACTGTGACTTTTATCAGGGACCTGCATCTCCAATTTCTCTAATACTGAATGCAGTCTGAATATGAGGCAGGCTGTCTGCATCTCCTCTCTTTAAAATGATTTGCAAGTGCCTCTGACCTTATAAAGCTAAGTGACCCCATGCCCCGTGGTGTGATCTAGCCTGTAACACGCCCCARGTTTATGACTGGGGATAGGAAAGGACCATGTGTCTGCACTTGTCTCTTCTGAACAGCTGCATTAGGAAGGGCTGACATCCAGCAATTACAACATCAAAATCAATTCACATAGGAAGGCACAGGTTAAAACAGGAGCAGGTGCCTCAGCCTCCATGCCATACAGCAGGTATGTGAATGTATTGGTTATAGGATATCCAAAAACCTCAGATGCTTTAGCAGCTAGGATTCTTCCCTAAATTCTAATCCTGGAGGGGAGGTAGACACAGTAAAGAACAATATGATGCTAATCTGCTTTCCTGTAGGCATTGCCAAAAGATGGGGTTTTTTTGGAGAACGGTGTTTGCGGCTGTGCAGGGAGGAAGGGCTTCAAGAGAGGAACACGGACTTAGGGGACCAGATTAAAAAGCCTGCTGTGGGAGTACTGAGCAGGAGATGAACACAGACTCACCCGAGCTGTATGACATATTCCTGTGTGTCCGTGTTGTGGCCAAGAAGGAGCTGRTACCCAAGAGGCAGGGTAGAGGCAGTTCTTGCCACATCTCCAAGATGCATGAAGGCAGGCAGAGTTTTAAGCTTCAGTTTTGATCAGCTATGGCCCTTTAAGGTTGAGCAAGGCATGCAGTGCGGACACTGCCCAGTCCAAAYCCAGCAGCCACGTGAACTCTCTCCAGGTGGGCAGTGCCAGGCTGGCACAGCAAAGCCTCCCCCCCCAGTTCCCCCACTGATGGCAGAGGGAGTCTGATTAAACTTGCTGGCTCCCACTCACTCTGCCCCAATTTTCCTCAGGGCAAATGAGAAGAACCTATCTCCAAGCGCAAGATTTTGGGAATATRTGTCAGAGATGCCTGCCAGTAAAATATCTGTCTTGCCCTAATTTCTGCATGGAGTGCTGCAATGTCGAGTGAAATAACCTTCCAAGCTGGCTCTGCTGCAGAGGTATTTTGGCTTATGCTGTTACTGAGAGCTTTTTCTCTGATGAGCGCTTTCTGCCTCTCTGTGTCTCTGATGTCTGACTCTCTTCGCTCTTCTTTTTCCCTTGGGCTGGGATGTGTGCTGTTTGCAATGCATCAGGAAGTAATACGCAATGAGAAAACTCTCATCATCTGTGCATCAGGGAGAGAATTACTGACTGAGTGCTGAGCAGTCAAGTTATTGATTCAAACCAAAGCCCAGTCTCTCTGTCTGCTGGGCTGGTTACGTCCTGCTGGTTCATTGCATTTAATCGGATTCCCTGAGCTGCCACGCAGAGGGGGAGAGTTAGAACCAGATCCATCTATGATGTTTGCTTCAAAATCCAGTTCTGTATCCCCTTCTCCGTCCATGGAACAGGCAGATTCGGATGCTCTGGACATCAGCACCAAAGTGCAGCTGTACGGTGTGCTCTGGAAGAGACCCTTTGGGAGGCAGTCGGCCAAATGGTCCAGGAGGTAAGCCACACTKCTGAAGGGGTGCTTGGGTGAAATACAAAGCCTAAGGGTGCTGGGAAAAGTGAAGAGCCTGAGTGCTTGACTCTTCAAGTGCAGCCAGCCAGCAGAGGCTTGGGGTAAAACTTGGGGCATAGCTTCCATGCTGTCCTGACTCTGCTTTCCACGTCTGGCACTCCACTGTCTGCTCTCTTCTTTATCTGTCCAGACCTTGTATTCTGYGTGCTTCAGGTGGGAATAGAGACTAGCTGCCTCCTCTGGATAATTATCTTACGATAGTTTCACGGAAGAGGAAGAGTCAGCTCATGTGTTTTGCCCCTAAACTGCCTGACTTTGTTCATCTAGCACTCAGAGCTCCGAGCCCTTAGGGTGTGAGATGGCTGGGCTGAGCTGACTGTGTAGGTCTGTATGTGCCTGTGTGTGGTCTGCAGGGGTCTGTGGACCAGCGTCAGCACTGCTGTGCTGCCTGACAGTGACAGCATGCTTGGAACAGCACATGCAGGCTCTCCCTGGGGAGAAGGTGGCTCTGAATTCTCTCCCATCTGGCCTTAGRGAGTTGTAAGCTGCTGTGTGTTGTCTGTCAGCAGTCAGGAAGTTTGGAGCTGGAAAGCATTTGCTATAACCTCTAACCAAGGACAGAGTATGTTTTATAATACTGAAGTGGTAGATTGATGTTTAAAGTTAGTGTAGTTTCTTTATGCAAATCACAAAGTCTCTGGTACTTACCTTGGTACTTACCAATTTGCTGCAGTCTGCAGTGTAGATACAAACAATCTGTTTCTAAAGCCAGCTTTCCCAGCTTTTCTGTGTAGTAATCATAGTGCTGCCCAGTCAGTGAAGATGGCATAGCCTATAAAAAACATTACTTGAGTAGCAGTTTCGTGTTTGTAGCAGTCTTTGACCTGTGTATAGGTTTTATTCCCTCCTCTGCCAAGAACAGCCTATTTTCACCCAGAAAAAGAATTGTGCTGATGCTCCCTACTCAGCTCCCAAATATTGATATTTAAATGAATTATGTCTGGGAACTGATGTGACTGTGTTACGGAAAAGAACTGGACAGAGCAACAGAGGGGAAGATAATTTGCCATGGAGGAGGCATTCTTAAAAGGCTCTCCCTAATAAAAATTTCTTGCAGGYACATGGCCCATCTCTGCTCCCTTTGTCATGATTTATTTAGTGCTGTTCTATTCCTAGAAGTCACCCCCATCTTCAGCAAGTGGTAAATATTTTAGCGATAGCAGCTGGGAACAGAAGGGGAGGTGACTGTGGGGCAGAGATGATATGGAAGATTAGTTGCAAGCACAGCAGCTGAGGGTCCTGGGGGACTACACATAGGTCAGTTAGAGTTGAATACAGGGAATTTGTAGGGTTTAGAAGGAAGTGGGTACTGAAGAAAAACCACTTGAACAGGAGGAACAGTGTGTTGTTGGTTTGGTTGTTGTTTTTATTTATTTTTTTTTTAAATCATGGGAGCGACTTGCTTTAAAGTGAAATAACCTTGCATATTATTATAACAAATAATTAAGGGGAAATAAGGAGCAATTCATCCATTTCCCCCTCTCACCCCCCATGCCCAGTAACACATRGCTGGTCAAGTGCATTTTTTAATGAAAAGGAGATGTTTCCCACTCCAGTTAAATTAAGAAAAAAATTAACTATTGCTTGATGGCATTGAGGATCTGATCTAATAAATGTAGGTTTTGTCCTGAAATCTTGGACAATAGCACTACTCCCAGTTCCAAGGAAAGTCCTAGATATGGGAGATAAAACAGTGTATAAAGGCAGGATTGATCTCATCAGGCCATCAGGCATGAGGATGGGTCTGTAGGAGATGCAGGCTRTTTACTGGGCTTGATCCCATTCATTTGGCTACAGCAGCAATGCTTCTGGAGGCACTGAGAAGAAAAGCAACTGCTTAAGGGAAGGATGGAATTTGACTAGAGAACAGATCAAGGAAAAAGTGTCCAGGCATGGTGTCCAGTGCTTTGGTGATTAAAATCCCAGGTTTTGGAATTTCGCAGCAGTGGAGGTTATGCAGGGAGCAGGGAGCGATAGAAGAGCTTTGTTTTAGTCAGTGCTAGATCTAATGGCACCTATGGRGACAGCTGAACTAAACCTGAGGCAGCTCTCTGGAGCACTTTCAGTCCTTTCTTTTGCCCACACAATGGTCTGCGCTGAAGCCCAAATATTTGTGTGCTGCCTCAGGTGCTGAGTGAGAATGGGCTGGATGCTTCTGGCACTGGACCAGTGTGACTATGTCTATCTGCCAGGGCTGACATCTGAGCATGCTGCCTTTCAGAGCCTGATTTTTGAAATTAGTGCCTATCTCTTAAAGAAAAGAACTTCTATTCCTAAGAATAGGAATTCCTAAGAATTTTCTTTCCTTGTAAATTAATATCCTTCCAACAGAGAAGCAACTGTCTTCTGAGTTTACTGGTGCTTTTGATCGGTCTAAGCCTGGGTCACTGCTGAAGTGGCTTTGGGAAATCATATTCTCAGTCCCTGACTTATGTCCTCCTCTTCCCAACAAACTGCACCCCATTCTTTCTCCCAATGAATAACAAGCAACTGAGTCTCTCCTACTACCAAAGTTTTACAGATAGTGGCATCAGCCTAGTGTGGAGGCTGGAGGGAAATSCATAATGTGCGTACCTGCCTTGGATATGGCATGAATAGGGTATCATCGCTTTCTATGAAGGAAGTGGCACATCCTTCTTTGCTGTGAATAATCCCAGTCCCATACAGAATTCCCAGACTCTAAATTTTCTGTCACCGTCCAGGTCTGAGACTTTAAGGTTCAGTGGGACTGTGCCAGGAGGGGGCGTCTGCTTGGTGGACAATTGAGAATCAGAAAAGTAAGATGGAGCATGAGAAATTGAAAACAGCAGAGAACAAAACACAAAATATGCCTATGATCTATGAGTAARTCCATCAGAGATGACAGGCTGGAAGGAGGGAAACACAGCACAGTTAAGAGAGATTTTTTTTTTTTTCTTTTCTTGAACCAGTCCTGTCTGTGGCATTGCAAAGCATGCACCTAACCTTGTTTTCCACAGCGGCCGCTAACAGTCACTGCGTGCAGTCATAGGACAGGCGGAAAAGAGAATTGTTTAGGACTGCTTTCTGCTCAGAAAACCCCCTGGGAATCACACAGATGCAGAGCAGGGTKTGTGTGCAGCACAGGGGCTGCGAGAGCTGCGGGGCTGCGCTTCCCTCTCGTCCTTGCAAACTCCCCCCTTGGCTGCTGCTGCCAGAAGCATCCACCTCTTCCCGCTCCCTGCCAGGCTGGGCGAGCTCCGGCTGCCGGGAGCCAGGGCAGGAGACACGCAGGAAAGCCTGGAGCTGTCAGGAGAGGAAGAGTGAGGGGCAGGTACTGCGGACCCTGAGCGCTGATCAAGACCATTCGCCCATCGGTTTCCTGAGCTGTCCCCAGGGACAGAGAACTGGGCTGATCTGCTAACTGGGATTTGCTGCCTGTGCTCCTGGACTGGTGCCCAGAAAAACACCATTGGAATAAAGGGCCWGAGAGACTGATGCAGTTTTGTAGTGTAACTACTTTATCTGGGCCATTGTCATGTCAAAAATTTGTGCAAAGGTTAGCTAATTAATTTCATTAACCCTCTGTGATACCAAGAGAGCACTTTTTCCTCAGAGATCAGGTAYCTAAACTTGTCCAGTACAGAGATGTTGTTTCTGCTTTACACCCGAGTCACTCAAATTGTTACAGTTCCTATGCTATCCCRGTTTAATTACATGGTGGTTTCAGTGGTTTCTCAGTGCAGGATCCAGCAGCAGGGATGGGTGACCCCAGAGCAGCTGACCACAGGAATGGCTCTTGTATTACCTGTGCTGCCAGTGGAATGTGGCTCTCAGCCTGTCTCACGTCTCTCACCTTTGCCGACGCTCTCCAAGGTTTTGAACTCTGCTCTGTTGTAAAATTGCTTCTTTTTTGGGTTCTTGTTTGTATTCATAATCTTCCCCATCTGTGCCTAATTCAGATACGTGTTTAGTGTCTCCAGTCCTCCAATCACAGTCCGAACTGGATGTCTCTCCCCATTCTCCCTTGGCCATCTTCTCCCATTCTGTTCTTGCTCACCTGGCTGCTGCTTTAGTCTTCAACCTGCTCTTGAGTCTTGTAACTCTCTCCTCTATTCCTTCACTGTGCTGCATCAGTTATCCCTGGATTGTTGTATGGAGACTTTGTCCTGAAGGTCAATTTATAGTCATGATCCTGGTTACTTAAGACAGATGAGGGAGTATGATCTGATCATAAATACATTATGTCCACAAGTAACCAGATTTTCACTTTGGAGAAGGTGTAAAATAGCTCCAGAGTTTGAGTTTGCTGCRGACTTCCATAAGTTTAGCTTTGTTCTGCATTTTTTTATTGCTACGAGAGCCATAGTTTCTGTTTCCATGGCATTTGGCAATTTTGTTTGTGTTGCCAGAGCCATGGCAGGATAGCAAGAGAYAGAAGCTGATGGAAGCGGTAAAGCTTTGACCCAAGTGAAATAATGATAATAATAATTAATAATTATATATATTATTTTATTAGAACTATGATATTTCTCTGCCAGCTTCAACACCTTTCTTTAGCTTTTGGAGTTAAACTGGTACCAAAATGCTGTGCTCATCTGTACTGGAGGCACAACTTGGCTCCATCTGACAGTCCATTCATTTCAGGAGAGGACTGGGGTGGGATGGGCACATGAAGGCATTAGAACTGTCCTTGTGGATCAGCCCCCTCGGCCTGCAACCCATCATTAATGGTGGCTTCAAGGAAAGGTGCAGGAATGCCCAGGCTGTAGAAATCTCATCTTGTTCCCTCCCAGAAACAGGAGGGTTTCCTGGGAATGTTCTTGTTAGTCACAAAAATGCCTTATCCTTTCCAGTTTCCTCATGATCTCTTGTCCTGGGGACCACATAAAAGTGATTTACACAGCTATGTTTTGTGAAGTGTAAAAAGGCATTTTAAAATAATTTTCAACTTACCTTTTGCTTTCTTCCCAAATCCCTCTTTCTCATGTCAGAAAATATGTACAAAGCAGTACAACACATTTTCTTTGTCATTTACTCTTTTGAAACCTCCCAGCCTAAACTTGTCCCCATTTTTTTCCAGCTGCTCTTCATAATTTTTGAGTGCTGCAGAGATTTAGACCAAATTCAAACTAAGTCAGATATCTCTCCCCTGTACCACTGCCTGCAGAGTACATGCAACCTCAATTTTTGAAGAGAGGAGGGACTCTCCCAGGGGCATTTCAAGAATCCAAATAAGTTAAAGGTGGCACTCATTTAATCATAGTTTTGAGGACATGCTCCAGTAAGTTAGAGGCTCAGCTTACAAAAGCTGTGATATTTTGTGGGTACTCTATAATGATCATAAGAGCATTCCTAAGGCTAAGTGAGCAGAACAATATTTTAATGTTGCACATATGAGAAGAAAAATACTAAATTTCCTTTGTAGTTGTGAAGGTCAATGACTGGAGACTTTGCCAGGTGCTCTGCTTAAAAATATMTCTTAAATTTTATTTCTGCTTCTGAGTGCTTTGGTGGCCAGGTTTTGCCTCAAGAATCGCTTGGGAATGCTAGCCTGTGATTCTGTGTTAGAGTGGAAACACTTCCCTTCTTGCTTATGCTGAGAAGGGAGGGAAGTGGGTTGCCAGCAGCAGGCTGCAAAATAAGCATTCAGTTGGTCTTAGCCCACGTCAGAGGCATTTAAAAAAAAAAAGAGCATCTCCCTCCAATAGGTTGAATTCAACACATGAGCTGGAGAGGGTGCACACGTAGAAATGCAAAAGTCTTTGGTCGTGTCTTGGGCACAGAGCGCTGTCCCAGTGCCCTGTGAGTACACGGTGCCATGGTTTGCCCTCAGCTSTGGTGTGTGCATGCTGGAGTAAACTGCAACTTGAACTTGACACTTGCTGTTAAATGCTACCTCCTGGCTGTGAGCAGAAGCGAGGTACCTCAGGCTCAGGTGRGAGTAGTAAACTTTTCTGCTCAGAAAGCAGCTTTAGTTAGGTGGAGATTTTCTTGTGTTGTGAACCACAACCTCTGTTCTAGCAGAGTTTATTTCCCTTCTGTCCCAAAGGTTCTTCATCATTAAGGAAAGTTTCCTGCTGTACTATGCTGAGAGTGAGAAGAAGAATTTTGAAAGCAATAAATACTTCAATATTCATCCCAAGGTGAGCAGTGTTTGCACAAGGAGGGGGTTTTTCTGTTTCTAGCTCCTCCTCCTCCATGGGTCCATCAAGCAAAGAAGAGGTAAGTCCCAGTAAGTCACAAATATCTCACGGATTGAGGGAAGCCTCAAAAGAAATAGAATCATAGGCACATAACCATTATCTTTTTTACCTGATAGTAGGTATATTCCCTTGTTTTCGTTATCTCCTCAACTATTCTTGTGGCTATAAAAACACTGTTGGCAAAGCCAGCAGTGGGGCTAACAGCTCCATTTGCATCTTGTTCCTAACCTGCACTGCCCTCGTTAGCAGCTGATAACCCACATGCCCTCAGTTCTCAGGAGTGGCTTCTGTAGCTCTGCTGTCTGGAGCTCTCACAGGACCCTGTGCTCTGAGTCTGCTTTTGTCCTCTGTAGTCACTGGAGGCTGATGAAGGTGCTGMTGTCACCCATCCTGGATAGGGGCAGCCAGCAGCCTGTCTGCCCCCATGCAGSACATGTGGGGTTTTGACTGCTGTCAGTGACTGTAATGAATGCACAGCCTCCCTCATGACACCACAATGAATGTGCAACGTTTGTCCCTACTGGGAGATCACTTCTTCCTTGATAAATGAGTTTCTGATCCCATGTTCTAGCTAACAGCTTTCCCTCCATGAGGAAGGCAGGACTGCCATCTTTGCCCCCTTTCAGATACTGGCTGGGGGTTCCTGGTGGTGATGAGAGTCCCTCTGCTTTTGGGGAACTGTGTGGATTGTCTCTTCTGGGGTAACCAAAACAGGGCAGGGGCCCACAATGACTGAACGTGCAAGTCCAGCTCCTGGTTAACTGATAGTTATACTTTGCTGACTGATCGGAGTGCTCTGGTTTATCTTCAGGGTGTCATTCCCCTGGGAGGCTGCATTGTGGAGCCCAAAGAAGAGGCCAACATGCCTTATGCCATAAAGATATCTCATGAAGACTTCCATGTAAGTAGATTCCTTTTCTTCTAGAAAGCTCCAAACACCATAGAACAGGTTAATGCTGATGAGCAGAGCTGGATTGCAGTCTTTTCAATCCCCACCAAGGTATGCCTGACCTCTCTGAACAGACTGTCCTGAGAGCAAGGGGGGCTTAGCATCCCAAGTCCCCTCAAGGCTTTGCTGCTGCTGCTTTGACAACCAACAAGGAAACTTGCCCTTTCTGACACCAGGTTTTATGATACTAGCAGACCAATAGACAGATTCTCAGGAGCCCTAGAGCTCATACTGACATATCAGTATTATTCCTACTGTGACTGTTTGCCATGTGCCCACTTTCCAGTGTGTGGTAGGCCTGGTCGTATTTGCTCCTATGTGATGCTGCTTGTAAGTGCTCCTCCCACCACAGCTGTGTCCAGCTCATGCCATGAGTGCACAGAGGTGCATAAGGCACCAGCCTCTCTAATCCTGGTTTTTCTCCCCTCCCCTCCCCTCTTCCAGGGTAACATTGTTCTAGCAGCCGAATCAGAATTTGAGCAGGCTCAGTGGCTGGAGATGCTACAGGAGTCTGGAAAAGTGTAAGCTTCTTTCTATTCCTTATTCCCTTTGATCTGCTCTGTAGATGTGTAAAGGATAAAGAGGAAGAAGCCTGGCTAGAAGGGCTACAGGGATTCAGAAAAGCTCCTCAAAACCAGTGAGAGCTTCACTTGCCTCCTGGACCTGTCCTTTCCCTAGACAGGAAAACTCTAAAAACCTGATCCAAAGCTTCCTGCCTTGGTGTGCAGTGTGTGTGCAGTACAGCTCTCTGCTCACGGTAGCAGGCTCTTACCTGTCAAATGCTGATATACTGAGCTCCTTCTGCCACCCTCCTCTCTTGCCTCAGAGACGTGGGGCCTGGGTGTGAACAGGAGCTCTCCTGGTCCATTTTGTGTGGGAAGCAAGGTTTGCAGGCTTGACAAAAGTGGGGTCAGAAAACCTCTCCGTATGAATTTGGGGTAAAGTGCCTGAGAACAGGCAAGGCACAGATCTAGTGAGCAGCTGCCCATGTGGCTCTATGTCCTGCAGGCACCTCACCAGCACAGTGATGATCARTAACAGTAATTGTGATGCAGTTGTGTGTCTGTGGGGTGTGAATTCCTTCTGCACAGATCTGAGGGTGCTCAGGCCATGCAGCAGCAGGATTTGGCCTCTCAAAACAGTTTAATTGTGAAATGTGGAGGAAGTCTAAATGCCAGGAGAGGCAGTGCTAGCAAAGCATTTCCAGCTCATCTACAGGGTGAGAGGGTTTGATTGCTGTATGCATTCAGTACTGGTTCCCAGTCTGTTGAGAGTGCTGGACAGAGATTTGCAGCTTGTTGGTCTCCTGCTTTGCAATCCCTCAGCATACAGGAGCCTGGCAGCCCAGTGAGCAGCTGTCCTGCAAAACCAGAGCAGGCTCCCTCTAAATCTCAGCAGATGCAGGGAGAGATACCACTTAAACGGGGATTTGACTTTTCCAAATGAGATGCAGAAACTTCCTGAGTCTGTAGAGCAGAGCCTACCATTCAGCTATGAGGCTTAAAGCAATGAGCACTTTGCTCTGCCCTTCCTGGCTTCATTTCAAGATGTGTGTGGGATCTTGTCACTATAGGGTCTTTTGTTCCTGCATCAGAGTGGTGCAGCTCCAGTGCCAGTCTCATCAGTACAGATGGTAGCCTGCATGTGAGGCAAAGCACAGATTATGTGATTTATAGTAACAGGGTCAGGCTGGGAGCTAAACAGCAGTCAGAAAGGCCAGTGTGGGCCAATAAATTGATCTGCAGTGAATAGAAAAGCTAAAAGAATACTGTTGAATTATTCTAGGCAATTTGTTATAATGTCCTGTTGTTCCTAGATGGAGATTGTACTGCTGATGGCACTGCAGCACTTAGTTGTGATCATCCTGCTGTCTTCATCATTCTTTAAAACTGAGAAAAAAAATAAAACCAAAACCCACAAACTCAAAAAAGCCAAAAAAAAAAAAAAAAAAAAAAAAAAAAAAAAAAAAAAAAAAAAAAAAAAAAAAAAAAAGCCCCAAACAAACTTTGTAGACTGAGATATGGAAATAGAGAAAAGAAGAAAAACAAACCCAAGCTTGGAAGTATCCTCTGTTCTTTGTTTCAATTTTGTCAACTGCCTCTTTATGTCTGGGGTGGGTCACATGTATATGCCTTTCTTCACTCCTTTCTAAGCCTCCTGCCCTGATAGGGAAATGGCTTATTCAGTGTGGAGGGGAACTGATGGTCTCCCCACACTTCTAAAGTGTTGTGACTTGGACTTAGCACTCTTGCCAGATCGTGAAAGCTTTTTGGAAATGCACAAAGCCCTGACTGCCAGACTACCAGGCTCTCTTCCCATCCAGAGAGGCTYTGCTGCTGCTTGTGGGGGAGAGGAGCACACATACACTCTCTGTCCACAGCAGCATTCCCCGAACTGGTAGAAAGTAAACTTGGTGGGCAGTGGGGGAGGCAAAAACCAATATGGTAATTATGTCCTGTGGAGTATAAAGTGCTAAGCATCTCCAAAAATTGGCTGTGGGTGCTCCCAAGAAAGATAAAACRCAGGCAAAGCTAAAGAGATATTCCCAGTGCTGCAAAAGGACTCAATCATCAAAATGATTGAGATGTATAAGTGATGGAGATACTCTACAGATTTGTGTTTTGTTTGGGGTGTTTTTCAGGCAGAGGCTTTCTACTTGTCCCATGAGCCTTCCTGGCCCTGTGCTTTCCAATACTTTCAGCAATGTAGCCTTTTCTGATGAAAACTCACTTGGCAAGAAATACAAAATGAAAAAAGCCTTGCTTGCCCCTCAGCTGAAGTCATAGCCTGTACCTCCCTGTAGCTGTGGCCACAGCAGCACTGGTTCTGTCAGATGAAGGAATAAAAGCTCTAATGCTGCACAGTGATACAAGTGGATTTTCTAATTCGCACAGCAGTGGGTGTAGTAACTTTTGAGTAACAGACAGGGAAACACCTTGCTAGTCTGGGAAAGGGAGGGAGCACTGGAAAGGTGAATCTATAAACAGACACCTTAAAGGGTGCAGCTGTTTTGAAACCCTCCATGTAATCATATGATAAACTCTCTTTTCCCCTCTATTCCCATCTTACCTGTTTGCTGTTGGCTTCTCTGGGATCAGATTCATCCTGTAACAGGGAATGTTAGTGAAGCAACACACTCACACCCACATATTCTCACTCAAGATGATGATGTCTACCTGTGGGCAAAACAGCACCTTTTTAATTAGCATTCTAATTTCCTTTGCACTTTACAAATATGCTCATTAGCTGAAAAGAAACACATTTATCTACAAAGAGCTTGGGCTGCAGGAGCTATGAGCTGCCTGATCCCTGGGATGGTATGTGTTTAATTTATTTATCTGGCTTTTGTAAGAGACAAAGTACAGGTTGCTTTGAAATAAGAGATTTGCAAATAAACTTCCAAAAGCTACAATTTCAAATGGTTCACAAAGAAGCCTGGTACAGGAAGCTTTACAGATGTTTAATATTAATAAGATCCTTTAGGATTTAAAAAAGATGGCAAAATTTCTGAGTGACAATTGCTGTTCCTTTATGCACATCTATATAAACAGATTGGGATCAAATTTATGTATGTTTTAAAGTTATGCATTTTATATGTGTAGATTTTTTGTCTAATGAAACGTGAATGGAAGTGAGAAGCAACCTCCATTTCTGGTTCTATTTTGATTTATGTGTCCTTGACCTTGGTGTTTAATATCTGTATTAAAGCCTATCCTGTCTGTCAACTCAGTCAGTAATGGGTATCTGCTCCACAAGCCCTTTTAATAACTTGGCTTCATAAAGTGTTTAGGAGACCTTGAGATCCTCTGGCCAATGGTCCTACAATAACACAAGGTGCTCTTTGACTATGCCTGCTTCCTTTAGCATTCCCTATTTGCCAGCATCTTGTCTGGCTGTTATCTCTGGTTCTTCACTGTCAGGGAAAAGCCCTTGACTCACAGAGTAGGGCCAGACATCAAGTCCTGGTGGCTAACAGCTTTAGCAGAGGAGGGATTGATTGGTTCCAGGATGGATGATAGATACCAGAAAGGCTGAAGGTAGAAGGCCATGGGATGGATTCAATGAATGGTTGAAGCCTTAAGAGGAAGAGCAAAATATTGGAAAGGCTGCAGAATACAATGTCACTGGCAGTGGCAAGTTAAAAGCTAAAATCTGGTTCTAAAGTCTATCATTAAAGGGTTCCAGATATATCCTGTTGCAGTTGGAAGCTGTGGATGTTCTGGATTGGTCTGGAGCACCCTTAATTTTAAGCTCCGTGTAGAAATTTCCAAAACACTGGAAAAAACATTTTAACAGCTGTGAGGTATTGACATACAGCTCATGTATTAAAAAAAAAAATCCTGAATACCAGGGAAATTTCTCCAATTCAATTTTTTTTGTGGACAAAAAAAAATTTAGAGAATCACTGTCCCAGCTAATGAGAGTCTGCATGTTTGAATTCCCTGGTAGTYTGCTAGGCTGAGTCCCCTGTCCTTATCTGTGGAACCTTAGCTCTTTTACATTGCCTGCTTTGTGTCTGCTCTCCCTAGGACCTGGAAGAATGCCCAGCTGGGAGAAGCCATGATCGAGAGCCTGGAAGCTCAAGGACTACAGCTGGCCAAGGAGAAACAGGAATATTTAGGTAGGAAACTCTTACTCTGAAAAGCCATAAGGGCCAAAACAGACATTTTGCTTTTCCTGGAGTGGTCACTGTGGTCAGGCCAAGCAGCTACAGATTTTCACTGGATGAAGCTTTTGAGTAGTCAGCAGCTGAAATTCAGGTCTGAAGGGAGTCAAAACATGCAATRGTTAAGTAAGATCTGGACATTTGTGTGGAGTATGAAGGAGGAATGTGCTTTGACCAACATGCTGTACTCCTGCAGCTTCTAATGGCTTGTCTGTACAAACATTTGCCACCCCTGAGACAGCTGGATGTCAAGCAGCTGGTTTCAGCTGCTTATAGGCAAAGAAACCATCACTTTGTGCCCGTGAATCACACAGGACTGATACTTCTGAGGCTGGTCACAGCTTTCCATGCATGAGTTTTCCTCATCTAGCTGGTGGGTTTTTCTTTTCTCGTAGTATCTACTCCCAATCATYGAGCCACTGGAGGAAGCTTAAGGAGATTTCTGCATCTGTACTGATCGGGGTGACCTCAGTACATGATCTCACATGTAACAGTGATCACAAATCAAGGATCAAGGCACGTTCATTGGGGCCATCTGAGCACCATTCACACACATGTGGTGATCAATGGGCTCGTGTGTGAGGCAAGCAGAGAGAAGTGGTTCCATACCTGGCAGAGGAATAACGGGATGCTGAGAGGAGGACATGAAGGGACAGAAACAGAAGGAAAATTAGAAACAGGAAAGTGTTGTAAAAACATTGTTTTGCAACCACCAGAGCAAACTAAAGGGATTAATAGATTAAAAATATCTTTAGTATGATAAAAGACAAGGTGATGGAGGAATAGAGGAATACACATTARGTGGGAAACAGGAGATACCTGGAATAGAAAATATATATTTCACTGAATTCTTTGGTGTGTGACAAGAACATTCGGAGCTGGTCAATTGTCACAGCTGGTTACTTTCTTCTGACAGGAACTGTCTATTTCTGTATAACTGCTGAGGCTTCTGCCTCATTAGCCTTGCCTTCAATGATCTGTGTCTGTCCTRTAGTTAAGCTTTGAGGTCAGGCACTCTTCCTGGCAGCAGGTCAAGGTTTTCTGGAGGAATATTGCTCTGGAGAATTTCCTGAATTCACACTGACTTACCTTCCACGCAGCTGAGATCTGGGTTTCCCTGTCAGACATGGACTTTACAGAAGCCCATCAAGTCCAGGGCTTGGACCCACCAGGAGGGGCCCAAGAGGGAAGATCAGAGAGCCTCTGTGTAATTACAGTGCATCTGCACTGGGTTCTGGCCAGAAGGAAAAGGGAGACAGTGGGAAGGGGAGGAAAGAGAGCAGTAGTGGTCAGAGCTTTAGTAATGTGACTGTTTCTCTGGCACCAGAAGCCCTACTTTGGGCAGGAGGTAGAGGTCWGCATTCCTCCCAGCAGGAATGATCYTGCCAGCAGTAGTAACCTGGTCAGGTCCCTCAGTGCCAGGGAAACCAGTAGCATCCCCCTTGCCTGACATGAGGAAGATAAAAGTGCTGTAGTGAATCTGCCCCTGCTCCTGTGGCAGCCCAGTGGCAGAGCTGAGAGCAAAACCGAGGTTTGACCATGAGGAGCGTTTCTGTCTGGGTTCCTGAAAGCATGGGCAGGAGCTGCCCGAGTCTCTGAGCTTAGAGCCCAGCCCAGCACAGGGACATCAGGCTGCAGGGTGAGGACCAGAGCAGAGCCTCTGGTGGGCCTGTGTGTCTTCAGTGGACAAGAGCAATGATGTTGAGGAGAACTGCTCCGTACAGCAGGAGTTCTGTGGCTAAGTTAGGGAATTGGTTTCTGGGCTTGGCTGGGACATTCCAGTGTGACAGTAGGGAGGTGGCAGTGCTGCCCAGRGGGCTCAGGAGAGGATGATGTGCTAGGCAGGTGAGGATGGGGCACTGAATTGCAGGAAAACTGACTGTTGTTACATGTTGTGTGACCCTCTGCACTCACTTAACCTTTCTATGCCTTGTTCTTTATCTGTGAAGCAGAGATAAGAATATTTTCCTGATTCAGCTGGAGGATGGTGAAGGTTGGTTCATTAATGCTCTTCAAGACCATTGAGAGGAAACCTTAGAAGGAGTACAAAGCAATATGGCTCRTTAGTTTATTCAGTTTTTTGGCAGGAGGGAAGTTACAGAACATCCCATTAGTGTTATCTCAGCCTTTGGAGCCTCCCAGACAGATACACACAAAGGAATAGGGAATGCTGCATTTTCAAGCTTCAAAAACTCAGTGTTTCTTGTTTGTAAATATCCCGAGGATATAAAATGCTTTTCTCTGTGGACTGTTTTTGTGTGCTTGCAGATAAATTAATGGAAGAAACAGAAGAGCTATGTCTGCAGAGGGAGCAAAAAGAGGTGAGTGTTCATCACAAGCCAGTTTCCTTCAACTGCCTTCAACTTCCCTTTAGTGTGGCAGGACTGGGGGGTTGGGAGTTGTTGGTTTGAAGGCATGTCAGTGTTCAGGGAGAGAGGCTTGTGGATGCACAAGAGCCTCCAGCCAACCTCTGGGCCCTGGGGATGAAGAGAGGAGTAAGTCCTGTGCCATGAGATGGGTCGTGGAGGTGTATCCCTGCTCCTTTTCCCTGTTACTTTCCRTGCAGTGTACCTGTGATTATGTCTCCAGGAGGACCAGGGAGGAAGATCAAATGAAATTCATACTCACTGGACTGAATTCCACAATTGTTATTTGGCAGATTCAAGAAGACTGTGGCAATTAAGACCCATCTCCACAGTTAGAAAGCAAGTAAACATACCTGACATCGTTCTAGTATAGAGAGACCTCCTGCCCAGAGATATGAAAAACAATGTGGTTTGTTCTTTGGACACACCAGAGATGGGGAGAATAATAAATGTCGTACTAAGGAAAAATCAAGAGAGTGCTCCCTTAGATGTGACTATTGTACCTTATCTTAGAATAAATGATTTGGGTTGGRAGGGACCTTAAAGATCATCTCGTCCAACCCCCTTGCCATGGATAGGGAGATCTTTCACTAGACCAGGTTGCTTTATTAAGTTTATAATTGCTTTCCAAACTATTCCTAACTTATATTTGCTTAATATAATAAAAGTAGTGCATTGTCATGTTTACACCAAATCTATACTGATTTTTATAGCATCATCATGAAGTCATGGCAAGATAACTGTGCAAGTGGATTGTTCTATTGCACTGCAGGAAGGTGTGCATGGGTATAGACCACCCTGCAAAGTGCCTCATGCTCTTTTCCAGTTAATCCAAAATGACTGCTGCCTCTGGAAGTATCACACTTCAGGCACAGAAATTTTGGTGTTGCCACATACTGGGGCTATCTGGGTTTTCTGTACCTGCACATGTGAGTGCCTGAAAATGGTATATACAAGTGAGTCCAGCATCCCCAGGGAGTTTTGGACCTTCTGTATATACATGTATTTGGATCTTCTGTGGCTGAGCTGACCTGTGCAGGGAGCATGTCTGGGATTTCCAGATGCTTGGTAGCCTGGCTGGGACTTCTGCATGTCTGAAAATCCTCAGCCAACCTTAAATCCTTCTAATTGCCCCTGACAAAAGTGGTGGAATCAGACACCCTGTAGCTCTCCACAGCTCAAGTAAATGCCATGCTAAGAGTCCCAGGCGTTGTTAACAGGGAAGCCTTTCCTAACTGGGTTGGCAGAGTGCATTCCTATCTTCTGTTTTGGTGCAGGAACTGGAGCGTCTGAACCAGATSCTGGAAGCAGAGAAGCAGCGTTTTGAAGAGGTGGTGCGGGAGCTGCGGCTGGAGCAGGAGGAGATCAGRCGGTACGGCAGCAGAATGTGCAGGGTGGGAAAAGGACACAAACTCCCACAATGGGCAAAAGTGCCACTGTGGTGGTGAATCAAAACAGTCTGGAAAACCASCTGTTTTGTGCATGTAGGAAGGAGATGCCACATTGACTGAAACAGGAATGGTTGTGGGCTCTTTACCTGCATTTGCTTTGCTTGTGYGACCAATAGGATACAGCTTAGTTTCGTTTTGCACTCAGGACTCCAACAATTTWATTTCAAAGGGCTGGGACATAAGCAAACCCCAGATTAGTTGGGGTAGCATGGCAATGGACGGGTGCAAGAGAGGATTTCAGAGAGGCAATTAGTTCAATTGACTGAGTAGCTGTGTGGGGTCCAGACCAGACCTGTGGTGGATCTGCTTTTCCACCATCAGCTGAATGACACTGTGTGTATGATGTTGCCTCACTAAGAATAGTTTTGTCATTCTAAAAGTTAACTATGCAAAATATGAGCAGCAAATGTATTTAGAAAGAAAAGGATCCAAGTGCTTTGCCCCAGGTGTTGAAAGAACAATTTTTGCTATCAACCTATTTTTTTTTAAATTACTTTTTTCTCTCTAAATTACACCTCAGAAAAGCCAGTGTGATTTTGCAAACCATTTTTGTTTTCATAGGCCTCTCTCATTTCGGCTTCGATGTGACTGCTGCATCTGATTTCTTTCAGTTGCACCCATGGCTGTGCCCTTGCTAGAGAAGCACAGTAACTGTTGGGTTGGGTTGGGTTTGATGATCAGGAGGCACAGTGAAGTTCCTAGATGTCCACGGTGTGTTCAAGGCACCATGTGATGCTTCCTGGCAAGCTCCTGGCTCTCCAGGGCTGCCCGCACCAACCGATGGTTGCAGGTCTGCACCAGGAGATCCCCAGCCTGAGCACAATCTGTGGGGCTATTGTTCCTCTGCAATAGCTGTACCCCTTTTCGCCTCTCTAGGGAGCTGGAGCTCACAGCCCGCTCCCTTAAAGGAGTGGAGGAAGAAAAGAAAGAGTTGCGAAGTCTGACACAGTCCTTACAGAACACCCTAGAGGTGAGTGACCACTCCTCCCCTCTGAGTGACAGCATTCTGGTCTGAAAGCAATGCTGTCCCATGGAACAAATCCAACATCTGCTAATGACAGAGTTGAAGTGCTGTACAGATGAACAGGTTCATTTGGTAGCTGATATGRGCACCAAAATCCCCTGCAGAAAAGGATGAAAAATGACACACAGCACAGCTGAACCAAGATTTTCTCAGCAATACCTGGTGACGTGATGGTGGAACAAGAACCATCGTAAATTGCASTTTGGGAAGCTTAGGTGGAACACTAGGGAGAGATTCTCCATCAGATAAGAGGCAGGCAGTAGGAGAAGCTGAGGAACCTTCATTGTGGATGGTTTTCACAACTGGACAGTAGACAGGCACAGCTGACCAYATCTTGCTGTGCTGACAGACTGGCTCTGAACAGCAGGCTGGACAAGAGCTTACTGGAGGGTCCCTTCCAGCCAACAGGACTGTAAGTCTGAGAGAGATTTCTGAGCTTTTTTTGAAGTGCAGCTTCCATAGCTTCCAGTGGAGTTTGGAGCAGCAGAGGGGYTCCAAATTCTTTATTCACAGAAGGAAGCATGATTTCCAAAGGAACATGGGAATCTAGGAAACATAGTCTTGATGTATTAAAATCTTTCCTTATTGGTGGATTTGTGGAAAGTGTCTTTTCTAAATGTATATTGTTTGTGAAATTTCTACACTTTGCCTTCTGAAGCTGCAAGGTCATCCTTAATGTTTGTGTCAGATCCTACMAATTTGTCCAAAAATCTTTTCCTTTGAGCTCTTCTCCTTGCCCACAGTTAAGAGTATGAAAAAGGACCTGGCAAACTATGGCAGTACCATTCCTGCCCTAATTGCACACTGGGCTGAACACTTCACAGGCAAACAGCGTAATGTATCCTTTGCCTGCAGTTAGAAGTACCACAGACGGGTGCCTCCAGTTCCCACTGAGGACCAAGCCAAGCAGGGAARKCAGGGAAGCTKCCTGCATCTGTGAYGTACCRGGGAAGCATAAGGTTCCAGTCCCTGAGCTGTGTTTTTACTGGAATAGCACATCAAAGGAGCCTGCAGGTTCACCCCCTTCATAGCAAAGAAACACAAATTTTGTTATTCCTGTGTTTAACCTGAATGAGGCATGTGGATGTAAGGATGGAGGGATCAGTAAGGAAGAAAYAGGCAGGAACAGGAGCAGAAACATTGGACTTGGCTGATACTCACAATCTCTGTCCTTCTTCAAGGAGCTCTCCCTGGAAAAACAACAAATGCTGGAGATGCTGGAAGAAAATGAGAATCAGGTCCCACCTCCAACCAGCTCCAGCAAGGAGCAAAGCCCCATCTGGGGACTGCAGTGCAGCCTGCGGCAGATTGAAGAGAAGATGCAGCAACTTCTGCAGGAGAAACTCCTGGCAGAGAAAAGGTGAAGTGGGTGAAGAGGACACTTCTGTCCTGCTCAGGCTTGATGGTGCCAAAAGACATGACTGTCTGCTGACTTGCATTTTGGTTGCCAGCACCAGACAAGTCTGGAGGCTTGTCTGGTTCCCTTGGCAGGAGATCAGATTACAGATGCTTCAGAGGGGACAGAGGGAGGCAGGGGAGCTGATCTTGCTCCCAGTTGGGCCTTCTCCTTTCAAACCAGGACTTGGGCATGTGAAGGGGTTCATGGCCTGTCCATAAGAAGTGTTTGGTACTCCTGGGCCTCATCTGGTAATACAGAATGTTCCATTCAAGAGCTTCCCATCTGGCTTTCTCCAGCAATGTCTGTATTATTGGAGYGGAGCACACAGTGCTCCTGTTAGCACCTCTTTGCTCTGGGCAGCCAGGTAGTTAAGCATGTCCCATCATGATACTGAGCTCCTTTCCTTCCTGTGAGTTGTGTTGGGGTGGGAATRGTCATCTTTCTTTGCTTGCCATGCACCAGGATGAAGGAGAATGAGGAGCGGTCCCGAGCACTGGAGGAGGAGCGGGAGTTTTACTCTTCCCAGTCGCAAGCGCTGCAGAATTCACTCTCGGAGCTGACTGCAGAGAAGCAGCAGGCAGAGAGAGACCTCAAGGTATCCCTTCATGTGTTGCATATTTCTGTCCCTGGGCCCAGAGTGCTCCCATTTTCTCTTTCAGTTCATTCCCTATCAAGCCAAACTCTTGGTTTTATTTAKTTTTCACACTGTGGTCACAAATCTTCATTAGCTGTGCCTCACATGGCCAGCTGTGTCCTGGCTGCATCCAGAGCAGCGTGGGCAGCAGGGCCAGGGAGGGGATTGTGCCCCTCTGCTCTGCTCTGCTGAGACCTCACCTGCAAGGCTGCATCCAGCTCTGGAAGGACCTGTTGGAGTGAGCCCAGAGCAGGACCACCAAGGTGCTCAGAGGGCTGGAGCACCTCTCCTGTGAACACAGGCTGAGAGGGCTGGGGCTGCTTGGCCTAGAGAAGAGAGGGCTCTGAGAAGGAAACCTTACAGCATTTCCAGTGCCTAAAGGTGTCTACAAGAGATCTGGAGAKGGAATTTTTACAAGGGCATGTAGTGATAAGACAGGTGGGATTGGCTTCAAACTAGAAGAGAAGCTTAGGTTAGGTATTAGAAAGAAATGTTTTAGTGTGAGGRTGGGAGGTACTGGAACAAGTTGCTCAGAGAAGCTGTGGATGTTCCATCCCTTGAAGTGTTCAGGAGTGGGTTGGATGGAGCTCTGAGCAACCTGGACTGGTGAAAAGTATCCCATGGCTGAGGGCTTGGAACGAGATATCTTTAAGTTGCCTTCCAACTCAAAACACTATGATATCATGGTAACACATGAATTTGCCATCCTATATCTGTGTAGCACTATTACTTATTTTCATATTCTGAAGCCTGTTTAATCTGTTCAGTACAAGTCTTTTAATTTGTTACTGTGAAAGCATTATCTATAGATGGAGGAAGACAAAAAAGTAAAAGAGGAAAGGAGACACAGTCAAGAATAAAGATGATTTGAAAGAACTACTTAGATGTACATTGCAGAACTGAGCAGACGTCTTTCCTCCTCATTTGTGCTTAGAAAACCAGCATTAAAACTTTTAAATCTTTAGTAACCTCTGCAGGAACTTGGGTTCAAAAGCAGAGGAATTCAGCTGAGGGACCAGCCCTCCTTTGTAACAGACAKATGTTAATCTATGTAAAGGTAATTGGACAAAGGATTATATTTTATTTACATCTAAATAATGTAAAAGTTTTGTTAATAATTGGACGTTTGACACTCAACCTACTTATACAAATATTTTGTAAAAAAAAAAGAACAAACCCTCGGTTCCTCTTTTTCCTGCATCTCTAGTATTTTCTTATCCTGTAACCTTCTGTTTGGCCAAATGAAACTAAGTTGACCTAAGTTGTGTAGTYTCTCATTTGCTAAACAAGTACTGTATTTCTAACTTCTCTTGTGTTTTGTTTCTGGAACTAAGCACTGTACACCCCTTTGTGGGAACTGACTGCCTTTATCTCAAGTCTGTTTCAGTTGGAATGATGTCCTTCTGTTCCTGCTCAGCTGAAAGTATTTGCATTAGCATAAATTCATGTGTTGAAATACCATCTYTGATTCCATATGGTTTATACAATGGGAGGAAAACTGTGAAAAATGAAGTCACTAAAATAGCCTGGACTTCAAATTCAGATTTTGTCTAAAGATATGAGGAACAACTTTTATTTTGCCTTGCAGTATTTCTAAGGATTTTCATCACTGTTGTCTTTTTATTTTCCATGGCAAGTCCCTCACACACCTTGTGAGTTACCAGGATGATTTTTGAGAAACAAGCTGATTTTCAGCAATTCTTATGTCCTTGCTCAGGCTGAGGTGAAGGTACGCATGGATCTGGAGAGGAGACTGAGAGAAGCAGAGGAAGCATTGCAGAGCTTGGAGCAAGGCTTAAATTCTCTTGGTTGCAACAAGGAGAAAGAGAAGAAGATGAAAGCAGATGTCAGCAACTTGAGAAGTAAGTTAGTCATCCATCCTCTCTATTGATAAGCAAACTAAAGAGAGGAAATATTTCTTCTCAGACACAAAAAGAAGATTCCAAATTAGCAAAGCTGCACATCATGTGCTTTCCCAGCTTCTTATACCTCCAGCACACCTCCCTTGTGAGGAGCCATAATGTGCTATGCAGGCAGGTGGTGTTTYGCCCTCAAAGGAGGTTGAAATTATTCCAGCCTTCTCTGTTGGGTGGAAAGCAAACCTAGAGATGAGCAAATGCTTTCCAAAATGTCAAACAGGGAAGCTGTGGCAGAGCAATAAAGACTGACTAGGTCTGAGTTATGAAGAGCCCTCTGATTCCCTTCAAGGCTTTATTTTCTCAGCCTTGGTTACAAGAATATCACCATTTCAGGGAGGCCCATGGTTGCTGTAGCAACGTGCTGGTAGGTGACCCAGCAGGTGAAGTTTGGATCTTTACTGGGAGCTGAATCAGAGTATCAACCTGCAACTGCAGTCCAAAGGTCAGATGTAGGACTCTTGTTCCTCACAGCTTATCTCCATTTCTTTGCCTTTTTTTTGTTTGTTTGGGTTGGGTCTTTTTGGTTTCTTGGGTTGGGTCTTTTTGGTTTTTCTTGGGGGTCATTACCCTGGCATTTGGTTTGATTCAGGCTTGGGAACTGACATTAGCAGCTTCAATTGAATGAAATCTTGCTTGTTTTCCATACTCAAGGTATAGTGCAGGGAGAAGCAGTTATAAAGATGCTGTTTCTGTACAGTTAAAGTTTCATTTCAGTGAAGGGTGGGTGTACTTGGCCAATAATGAAAAGTCAAAAAGTCCTCTGGTATTCTGAGCACTGTTAGATAAATAGGGATAAAWACATGTATAAATAGTTTCATATATATTCACATATTTATCATTTTAATGTATTTAAATAAAACAAGTATTATTTAGTAGTTTCTACATAAGATTTCTAAACTGAGAAAAATGGGCATGATTCTGAACTTCATCYGACTGGCTCAGTGCCATGGTGAGAAAATAGAGCTAAAGTGGCTCTGTTGAGCTCAGCATTCAAGTAGAGCTTCACAGCGCATGAGTTGCTGGTATTGAATGTCTCCTRATATTTCCAACCTTAGATTTTGGGGGATGTTTTCTTCAAGAGTGTAAAAATGTACTGATGAGCAGAGCACTAGAGAAAAAAAGGAACCAGCAATGTTTCCAATAATGTTAGACTCAGCACAGATTGCCTCAGTCCTTCCAAGTGGTTCCTGCAGCTCTGCCCTGCCCTTTGATGGAAGTGCTTGGGCACATTAGCACATGAGGCCTTTGGACAGCAAGGGACCAGCAACAGGCAAGACTGGAATGGCAGAAGAGATGCTGGTTAGACCATAAGAGCGGAAATGGGAAAAACAGTTTGTGTGGCGGATCAGGGCAGAATAACATCAGAATTTGGACATGGGGCTTTGTTTGGAGTCTATAATATCTGTAACTATGTGTTAGTATGTGCTATGCTGTTAAGAAATCCACACCATGTATGGCTTGGAGGTGTGTGCCTGTGCTGATGTTGCCAACATCTTCCTTTCCCAGCTAGACTTGACTGGTTTAAAAAGTTCTTCGAAGAAAGTATGATGAGCAAGGCTTCAGAGCTGAGAAATTTTATCRCAGTATCAGAGGCTTTTGGCAGTTGAATCATGAACAATTCCCCATCKACTGATGTGGAATGGATGGCTGCAGTTCTTTCTAAAATTTGAGTATATATTTATTGGGAACTGGAAGCTTTTGTCCCTTTGAAAATATTCATTCTGWTAGTATTCTGGAGCTTTATGGATTGTTGTTTGTGAAGATCATCATCACCCAGCTCAGCCCATCAATGAGTGCAGTCCCTGTGACTGGTTGACTGCTTGGAGCGTCTGTCCCATCACTCTTACAGTGGTGTCCTCTCCCCAGAGTTCTTTGAAGAGTGCATCCGCAACGCTGAGCTGGAGGCCAAGATGCCCGTGATCATGAAGAACTCGGTGTACATCCACAAGGCTGCCACTCGCCGCATAAAGAGCTGCCGCTTCCGCTGCCGGAGAACCAGTGCTTCATGGAATGACAGTAGGTGTTGGGCAGCCTCCTACTCGATATCCTGCAGGAGCAGAAGTGTGCARATGGGGCTGACAGAGCAGCAAAGTCTGCAAATGTTGTTCGTATTTCATGTTTCTTAGTGGTATATTGGAGCTACAGTGCTACTTGGACCTTCCTTTCCCAGAGAGCAGGCACTGGGCTTGTGTAGTTGTTACCCATTTCTTTATATATGTTGAAAGCTGAACTTCTGTGATGGTCTTGGGTCCCTAAAATAACATGCGTATATATGACTTCATTGGAATGCCTAATCACAGACTGAATTAGGCTCAGTCATGTTGACCACGTCTCATGAACTCTAGTGAAGCTTTATCTTCAGTTTGTGTCCCTGATGGAGAGTGCTGACCTTTCTGTGCTCTTCTTGTTTCAGTGAAACAGTCCCAGTCCTTCATCTTCTCACATGCAGAAGCTGAAAACATTGAGGAGYTGAAAGAAGCAGCCAAAAGACTGAGCCGGGACCAGCGCTTTAGGAAAACTATCTATCAAATCATGAGGTCACAAAAGGATTCTGCTTCAGGGGACAAAAAGTGACTCTTCTTGGGAGGGGGCATCTGAGCTCAACTTGCCATTCAGCTCTGCAGAAGTTACAGCCTCGGGCACTGGGGTCAGAAGGGAGATCTGGCATTTGGTGGGGAAGGTGGGGGAAAATTGTGTGTAGGCAATCCCTTCAGTTACTGGCTTTGCTTTAGTTTGAGTGCTCCCTGCAGCCTGGCAGACCTTCTCTGCTGGTCACTCCAGACCTGTTTGCTTCAGCTGCTTAAGTTAAGCCATGTTTTGCCAAGATGCCACAGTTGGTGTTAAAGTGAACCACAGATTGTAGCTTAGGAAGTGCCTCTTCTTTCCTTCCCTGTCAAGTCTGTCTGCCAGACACAAGTGCTTCTGAGAAAACCCTTTATCAGCCTGTGTTCCAGCTCGTGTAACTTCCTCAGCTGAACACAGCTCACCCTGTTCTGACTGATCCTCTCTAGGAGATGGCTTGCTGCACACCCTCAGTCAGTCAGCACTTTGGTGGGGCACATTACTTGGAGACTGCAGCAATCCCAGCCTCCCAAGCACAGGCAAAAGTATCAAACACAGGGCAACTTCTTGTCTTGATGCTRGGTCATTTCAAGCAAACAGCAGCAACACAAGGTGAAGACAACAGGAGGATGCTGTGGATTTGGGTCCAAGGAGGATCATGCACAGAGAAGCGCTTATAGGTAACTCAGTGGCACTGCTGCAAGCTGGAGGGTGGGCTGTGTTGAATGTGGGCAGAATATTCCAGGGCCACCTTTGCACAGTTTTTGCACTGGSACATGTAGCTGTACTGGAACAGGGGAATATGTGCTAGAAAAGGTGTTGTCTATTGGCTATCTATTCATTGGTGYGAAGAAGCTTTGACTCAGCTCTGATGGCTTCCTCARCAYCTCTGTGAAACAAGCTGGAGGGCARTAGGGTGAGGACTGTCCAGCAGCAAAATCCACTACCACCTCAAGAATTAAACATTTCCAGCAGCAAGCTGTCAGAGCTGTGGAAATGGGGAAAGCCATCTCTGTATGTGCTGCAGTGGCTGAGGCTTTGTAGCACTCTTTTCCAGTCCTCTTGATTGCAATCCAAGCTGTCTGGGTTGACTCTGTCAAGTCAAAGCTGGACAGGGAGCAGTGCTGTGACCAGCCTGTTAGAGGAGAGCTTCTCACCAGCCTCTGAGCCCTCCCAAGTGCTCACCATGTGGTTATTGAAGGGGAGAATTTGCCCTGCACCTAAACATCTTATATGGTGCAGGAGAGGAATCASTTTGTTGTGGAGCCCCTTGCAGCCTCTCCTGCCAATTTTAAGCGAGCAGCTGGCTAATAATTACCCCTGCTGGGGAAACAGCACTGCCTGGTGCTCACAGAGCACARGAGGAGCGCACTCACAGTGACACCCTGTTTGCTCCTGGGTATTAATTGGGAAACAAAGAAATGGACTATACAAAAGTGAATAAAGTTACCTGCAGAAATACAGTCAGAGGTCRGAGCGTGTTAAGTGCAGATTTACTGTTCCTTCATGGTGCCAGGACCCCTGGGAGTTATTTGTGTGCAGTGACACACAGGTAGTTGCTTACTACTGTTCCAATCAGGCTGTGACAGTCCACTCACAGCCTTTGGCTTCTGGCCACCTACATAATTCCCTACCAATTTAGTGTTGTTCCTAGGCAGAAGTCAAGGAGGAGGTTGGGAAGCAAGCCCTGGCTTACCAGCCAGAGGAGAGRGGTTGATGCTGGGTGGAGGAGCATCCTGTGATGGTGTGATGCTCCTGGATGGAATCACTCTGGAGTGACCAGAGGAAAAGCTTTGAAGGCACAGGCTGTGCTTCTCATTTCAGTCAGCTACTGACTGGTATCCTTCTGCCAGGCACTGGGAGGTTTCATCCAATCAGAGGATCCAGCTCTGAAGGATGATGTTTTTGTGATAATAGTTTTTGTGATCTGGTAAGAGAAGAATACTTCCATCCTTCCTTAGCGTACTGGATCTGTCTGTGGTTTTTCTACTTGTGTTGATATGCTAGAAAACCACAAATGATTTCTTGCTCCTACAAGGCTGAAGGGCTGTGATAAAGCAATATAGAAATGGTTTTTCCCTTTATGCTRTTCTCACATCATCTCTAGCTATTTTCCAGTTCTGAGGTCTATATTATGTAATGCTGGAAGGGACAGAATAAAGGATAGCCAGGGAATGTATCTGTAATTCAGGCAGTTAGAAGTATCGCCCTGTGGCCTGCAAATACAGCATTTTTGTTCTATTACCATGAAAGCCATGCCATCAGATTTCAGAAGTATTGTATGCAGGAGGTAGCCACATCAGGTCTTCCTTTACTGTGCATATTGACAGCAATAAATAAATAAAAGTTATGCTGACACTAGAATGAATTCCTGTGTGTTCTTGATACACTGTCACCAAAATGATGTTAAATTGTCTCTGCAGGAGTTCAAACAAATCATTGTGACATTCATTTACTGCCAGTGCAGTTCTCTGCTTCACTGAGTTGTGTTATATGCTTAACATCGCCTCTCAGAAGGACTGGCTGTATGTAGAAAAGCTTTCACCCTTGCTACCCACTTCCACTCTAAAGCTGTGTATAAAGTTAAGCAGAATGTATCAAATCTAAAGACAAAAGCCCCCACTCGCTCACCCAAAGTCAGTGAGCAGCTCTCTGTGTGTAACCAGCGAGACGTGCCCTGAGCCGCCTGTGAGGAGGTGCTGCCATCAGTCATTCCCTGCTGCACAGGAATCGACTGTCCTGTAATCTCCCTGGCAGAGTCAGCACCGAGCTGTGCTGTGYGCCACAGCATCTTAATTTTGTGACTGTCTCCTTCCAAAGGACACGGAAATTACTGATTTCTGTGCTCTCTRGGTATTTTTAACGCAATGCAGTAACAGGAAGGTGGCTTAGGGAACAACTTACTTGTGTTCAAATAACTTCCACTACTAATCCTAGGCTGCTTTCTCCTGCTGGGAAAACTGGAAATGAGGTAATAACTCCTCCCACTGAGAAGAGTTCTCTAACTTGTTCTCTTGTGTCTGAGGATAGAAGAAAATATAAGATGGTTTGCACCTTTTAAAACTTTTCTTCAGGAGTCGCAGAACAGGTAGACTAGCTCCGAAAAGCCTGTGGCCATTCTTCTACCACCTCCACCTTCTGGGTAACATCTGGGAACTCCTTTTCCCTCTGGAGACGTTCTGTGTTGTTCCTGTCAGAGACATTGCCACTGCCACATGTGAAGCCTGCTAATTCTCCTCTGCATTGTCTTGGCTRCTTTTCACAGTGTGAAGGATGGCTCCTGTTAAAGGTTCAATTAACTGATTTAAGGGTTAMGGTTATCCTCCTTCTAAGATGCACAGGCAGTTTCAGTCCCCAGTGAAGAGTGGTTCCTGCTGAAGGACAGGCATTTTTCAGGTCCCCTAGTGCCCACTGCCCCAGGGCTTTGCTCTTGCACAGAAGTAAACGTCAGAGAAGGGAAGGCAGCCCTAGCCCTGCTGCCCCCAATCTGTGCTGCTTCTAAAGCAGAGAAAGAGGATAAGAAATGGAAATTGCCCTGGGGGTCAGAAGTCAATAATAAAGGATAAATGGTTGCTGGTGYGTGTTCTGCATTGCTGTGCATGGCACACAAGTGACACAGGCTGGCTGGTAGCAGTTTTCAGCTACAAAGTATGACTTCTTTTTAGCTCCAGATCGTAGGCAGGCTTTCTGATTAGATCTTAGTATAATATTAGTGTATCTCTATGGAAATAAGAGGATAGATTTTCATAGGAACAGTTCTGAATACTTTCAGTGCAGTCACTTTTTGTGGTTAGTATAGGGACAGAAGCTGGCTCATGTTGTATCTAGTAAGAAGAAGTTTGCTCCCAGGAAAGTGGCCATGCTCTGAAAGTCTTGTCCAAGGCAGGGGCTTGCCTGGACACTGGGTGCTCCTTGGTGCTGGTGTGCCTGTGGAGGATGCATTAATTCTGGCATCTTCTTCCTCATGCACAAGACAACTCTGCAGTTTCTCACCTAGTCTGTGCACAATTTTTAACTCACCTAGTYTGAGCATGGCCTTGAATGTGTGAAATGGCCAAGCCAGAGGAATTGCTGTAGTGAGTCACCTGAGAGCTGGGTCTGGGGTGGCCTGGGGTGACAGTCACCATGAGTTCAGCCACTACATGTGGTTTGTTAAACAACCTGCAGTGTCCTTCTGTGCACTGAGATAACATCYCTTTTTCTATATTAAGTAACACTTCTTACTGCAAGCTTAACTCCATAGCCAAAATGCAGAAAAGATCCAATTGTGTACTCGGTCAGGTCTGTGAGTCTGCTCCTTGCAGGATACACTGTAGTGCTTGAACTAAAATACACATTTTGGGTTGTTTTCTGTGTTGGCAGATCTGGCACTTCAGAGGAAGAATAAYGATAAAGGCCATTTTGTGGAGGTAACAAAGGCACCTTTGCTAACTCAGAGGTGTTGTAATAAATAACTCAGCAGGGTCACATGTTCTTATTTTGCTGTATCCTGAGAAGTGCAAACTTGGCATTGCTTAAAATACTAAGTGAACTCTGCTTACCCTTGAGTTCTTGACTGCACTGCTGCCTCAAACCTCTCTGTGAAAACCACCCAAGAGTGGAGGAACGTGTCCTCTCCTAGTGCTGCTGTTCCCATCAGTTTCTTCATCATTAATTCTGGGAGAGAGCTCCTGTTTTCCTGTTCCTCCACACATGGCTGCCTGCAGGAGGTGCAGCCCATGACTCTCCAGCATGAGGAAAACAGGTTCTGGGTTTTGTTGTGGTTTGTTTGGTTTTTTTTTTTTTTCTTTTAAGTTCTGCAAAACAGGAATTAATACTTTTGACATCTCCATGTTAATAAGGAGGCAGGAAAACAAGCTGTTTTTTTAAGTTCTGCAAAACAGGAATTAATACTTTTGACATCTCCATGTTAATAAGGAGGCAGGAAAACAAGCTGTTTGTGGTGGGTGTGATAAAACCAATTCCCTGCAATGGAATTAGGCCCTCTTCAAAAGAGGTGCTGGCTCTCAGCCCTGATGGAGGATGGCTGGAGTCTTCTGTTTGTCACTGCTGAAAGCTGACTGCAGAGATAGCGTGTTTGGCAGAACTCTGTCTTTGGGACAGTTCACAAGCATTCAAGGTCCCTGGGTGGCAGAGATGGGCTGTGCTTTTAGGTGCACTAATCTTACCAGCAATAAAAATGGCACAGCAAGAAGGTGGGAATGCCTATGATGCAGGGATATGGCTTGTGGTTATTCTTCTTTGTGGGCAGCTGTGTTTATGCAGAGGCTGCTCAGGGGAGAAGTCAATCTTTTGGGGCTGGAAAGGTTTTGGTATCTAAACATGGACTGGAAGAGATTGGAAATTCCTGCAACAGTCAAGGGATTTGGATGTTCAGAAACCCCTCTAGCCTGGAGCAGCAGYTCTCTGATGAAGTGTGTGGTACTTCAGAGAGATGCTGCAACCCATGAAGGGATGTGGGGAATGGCAGTGAAGGCAGACACTGTTTTGCTTCTGCTCCTTCTCCTAAWTTTCTCTTGCTGTGGTTACCTCCCTTACACAAATACAGATCAAGTGGTTAAATGTGGAATTTATTTTAGATTAAGAAAAAGAATGTGCAGGCAGAGCTATATTTCCTGCCTGTGTAGGGGGARTGTGGGCTCCAGAATGAGGACAGAAAATTCTCAGCCATTCAAAGGTATCACAGATGGGTAAAATAAGTGTGCTTATCATATACATCAAGCTTGGATGAGGGGGAGGAGCGGGACACACTGTATTTGAAGGTTCAAGCTAGCTTGCAGTAAGGGAAAATGAATCTGTTTGGAGAAGGATATGTTTTAGTCCCTTGCTCTGGCTGATGCTGAAGGAGCTGGAAGAGAATGTGCACACTAAGTCCACCTTAAACATGTGGTTGACTCCCTGGTGCTGGCATGGGATTAGTTTTGATGGCTGCTCACTACACAGAAAATCCCTCTAGCTGTGACAAACTGCTGCTGAGGACAGCCTTGTGCAGAAGCAGTGGTGGAGGCTGTGGCTCCAGGGAGTACCCTCAGAGCTGGACACCCCAAAGGATGTGCATGGCACCCCTCCAGAGGCATTCACGGTG